TCGCTTATGAAAAGATGTCTTAAAGTGTCCTCTTTCTAATGCTGAAAACCACACTTCATTATCTATCTCCCGCGAGGAGTTATTCAAAAAGCAACCGACTGCACGACCATTTGGTACGGATAGTAGTAAAAATTCAATAACTCAAGACAGGATGTAGCTAAAAGCCTGAAACTTTCTGTGTTATTGACAGACGATTAGTAATACTATGACAAAAACTTTCAAGTCTTAATTCGCTATTTTCGCAAAGTTATGACTTTTTTAATTAACGTTATTATTTCCGAAAGACATTTAAAAACTGCAAATTCACAAATCGGAAATATCTCGGTAACGATAGTAGATTCGAAAAAAATGAAAATAGGAAGTAAAATCATATTTTAATTTTCTCTCTAATTTCAAATATTCATCCGATGAATATCATTCGAGCCGAATTTATGTCGATAAACATTTTGTATTTGTTCAAGGATTTTTTTTTCTTCTTGTTAGTCATCGTTTTTGCAAAAAAGTGAGTCGTATGATCTAGAGAACTACTATGTAACGTAGAGACATTCTGAAAACGGGAGATAGCTCTCTGGGTACTGAATGTGGACCATTTCACGTTCTACTTTTAAACAACCGTCCAGATTCGGCGAGATGGGTTTCACAAGTGGAAGAAAAATATATCGTGGACTTCGAACTTTAATAGTTGTCCGGTGCCATATTTTTTGATTGTAGATAGAATCGAGAAAAGAATCTGTGTACATATCTTCTAATTAGTGAATTTCCTTTTCCACATACATGCATCTAATAAATGGTATACTAAGTAATTACCAGTTCTTTAAAGCATAGAAGACACATCGAAGAATTTCATTGAGAAAAGAAATAATTTTAAATGTTGTTGACACGGTTTAGAATAATCACAATAAGAAGAAAGAAGAACCGCTAATTACTCTGCTAGAATTACTACAAGCCTCTTTATAATATTTACGGCTTCTTATCTTTCATGTATTTGCCTAAAGGGTGGTTTATTCTGGTGTTGTGTCATCTAAGCACATAGCTTCAAAAGTGTGCTGTTTTTCTTGCTGAATGACAATGTGGTTGATGCTCTGGTTCAGATGTTATTGATGCTACAAAAAATTCCAATGAACTTAATGCTTAAAATCCGCTTGTTAGTCCTAATCAGTAGTAATTGGAAATGTCCACATTGTCTATCGACATCGCGACTTGTGCGTAGCATCCTTGCACTCTAGTTTTTCATTGCATCGGTGTAACAATAGGGCATGCACTTCAACCACAGCCCACATACCAGATTCCGAGGGCAGCGATTGCAGGAATTTATATCAGTAATTTTTCATTGAAGAGGATCTAAGACGTTTACACTCTGTCAGGCACATCGACTAACTAACGATTTGCGAATTTTAGATTTGTCATTCGCGAATGGATATACCAACGTTGATTATACTCTTGTTCATCATTTATTTTTTCAATGGATCATCACCGTCATAAGGTGCAACAGGACAATTGTCAGTAGCAAAACTAAATCCTATACGAATCTACTTATAGTGTCATCGCTTTCCTTCCAGTTTCTGTTGGTCCTCCTCAGTTGCTACTTCTTATTTCTTATGTTAACGAGAAACTGGTGTTACCTACGATCACCGTCGATAAACGAATGTTTTATCTACTTGGATTCAATTCGATCTGTGTATGCATTCGTACTCATTTTCTGAAATGATGTACATAACTGAAAAGCGGAATTCAGTGTCAAGGGGCTCGTGCACAACATATGTACAATTGTAACAATCGTCTCTATCGGTATGACATTGTATGGATCACCTAATCAACAAGGTGATACAAACTGCTTCCTTTCCAACGTCATCATTTTACTTTTAGCTACTGTCAATCGCTATTTCTCCCTCTTTCCTATTTTAACAAGTGGCATCCCTTGTGCTCGTCAACAATAAAAGAACTTTCGCCTAGCAAAGACCATCACAGACGTGTTGAACTGTGCAAGGCATCATCTTTCCGCTGCATTAATCGAAAGCTGGGTGTCTATAAAAACAGCAAGCGTATTTTTGGCAATGCAAATATCAATGATAATTTCAACGCGGCACTTTGCGACTGACAATAATTCAAGGTGAGTGTACTCGCCAATGCTTGAATAGACATTACGCCTAATGGACACTCAGTCCAATTGGTCACCAAAACACCAAATAATCGAAAAGAATCTTGACATACTTCATGTTCCAAGATTGTACCTAGATTTGAAGTAGTAGTGATTATTTACCTTCGTACTGGAAACATTTTCATTTTTCGGATTCAGATTATATTTTCTCAATTCGTACAGTCACTGAAGAGTTTAATCACGTTTTATGCAATAAAAATATCATATTTGGAGTCAGCGTCCCAAACTACATCGAATGATGTACTTTGTTAGTCTATCCGAGTACTTTGATTTTTTTCGGATTTCTACGTTGAAAAACTTTTGAGATTTTCACCAAAAAATAAAAATAAACAAAAAGTTTCGAAATATATATCATTCGATGTAGTTCGATGTAGGGTTTGGGACGCTGATTCCAAATATGAATATTTTTATTGCATAAAACGTGATTCCCGATGATTAAAATTGAGAATACCGGCAGAATTCCGATGGAAGAAAGAGAGGTATGTAGTTTTAAAGTTCGTTTAATGGCGGTTCTAATGAAGTGCAAAAATCTGCTCCATCTTTCCAAAGAAAAAATTAGATGGGTTTGCGAAATTGTTTCTGAGTTTTTTATAGGAGTCCAAGACTAATTGTTTTTTTCTTTTTCTATATTCGTATAATATACCATTTGGTTCTGCTTTGTTCGAGGATCAAGAATATTATCTTATTTTTACAAAAAGACGTAATGAAAATGAGAAAAAACAATTTTAGGACCAAAAATGATCAATAACATATACGAAGCTTTTTTAATGTTGAATTTTTTTCTGATTGATGCACCCGGCATTGACGACTAAGATTATATTGCTAGATAGAGTTAAGTGTCAGGCAATTTTTGACAAAGTTTGGCGGTGGTACTGTATTTCTTTGACCTGCTATAGAAGTTTTAGTGGAACGTATGAAAAATGAAAATTTGAAATTTTGCTCGAAAAATATTTTTTTCTCAAACAACAACCGTATTCTTTTAATTCTTTTATTGCCAGTTTATAGTGCGTTTTCCACTCTACAAAGTCTGGTATAAACAATATCTTCACACCTTACTGAGTTGAAAAACTTTTTTCATCTCATGTCAGTAAACGGTCAAACTTTTTAAAAAATTATTTTTTGAGGAGCAATCATAGTTTCAAACCAAAAATCAAATATAGCTAGATGCGCAATAAAATTCTCTGTCGAACCTACTATTCAGTCTTTTGATACTTTCAAATTTTTAAATCCGGCAGGGCCCTTTTCCGTTTAAGTACAAACACTTTTGATTCGGAAAAATCAAAAGTAGAGGAGTAGAACTGAGCTGAAGTTTTATGAGAAACAACGTACTGATAACGAACGGAATAATTATTTCTTCAGCTAGTCTGTCTAATAGGTTACTCGATTTTTTGTCGAACTCGGAAGAAGTGAAGGTGAAAATGGTATTTGAAAGTAGCAGGACTTCGAAGCTGATAAGCTTTCTTTTTTTTTCCACATGCGTGTGAAAAACTTCATTAGATTCGAAAAATAAATAAATTCAAGTTTGTATGCATGATGAAGGTTTTTCGAGAGTATTCCTTCATTTTCGCATTTTCTTTGTTTTTCTAGATGACCGCAGTTTATTACACATTCACTATAGAGCGTTAATGTGTTCTGAACAATTACATACATATTAAATAGTGCAAAGTAGAGTGTCGATGAATGATCAAGTTAGATTAGTGCTAGAGGATCAGTGAACAATGGCACAAGCCTTCTGTCTTGATTAGAATCTTCGCAGTTAGAATGTTTCACTTCTTTAAACTGAGTCCAGAGGTTTACAGTTTTATTAAATCCAAAAGCTGTCCGAAATTTTGTGTCAGACATATTTCAGAAAAGACCCTGCCCCACGCCACCTAATTGGTCGCTATATGAGTGGGTAAACTTCGAAAGTACAGTAACGGGCAGTTTTACTGCGGCTTGTGCCCCAAACACAAAGATGACAGCAGTTCAAAAAAATGAACACATTATTTCGTGGTCGATCACTAAAAGAGGTAGAGAGGTGGAAACAATCAAACAATACCTGCTTCGACAAAGTATTTGATCTGATATATCAATAATCAGGTGAATAGTGTAATAGACAATGTACATATGGTCAAAGAAAGTTTTGTGGCAGTCTTTTAGAGATCTAACAACGCTGTTGTCAAACTATTTTGAATAAAGCAATACTTCAGAGATAACAGTACGACGTCTGTCTCAAGTAATGGAATACTTAAGCCAGGTATTAGAATCTTTTGTGGAACATACTATGAAAACTATTTTGACACTTTTACTAGTGATACTGTTTTCTAACATTTATTACTGAATACCATGAAATATCAATATATTTTTATAGTAAATATTTTTCAGCTTTATATAAAAGCTTTTATTTTTTCTCACCTATCAAAAAACGCCACGTAAATCATCATGACACTGATGTCTAATAATTAAAGCACAGTATTTTATCGCTCACAAATTCTCCCTTTTATAGAACTCAAATCACTATAATTTTAATTTTCTAAAATTATCACTGACTACAGATTCACACACAAAAACAAAGTATTAAAAAAATATCTGTGAAAAGACTTAAAGTCCACTGTGTGACTTTGAATACATCGTGTGAAGTTTCTTGCAAATCTATTGATCGTCGATTTTGGCTTTCAAAAATCAGACATAAATTAGCATGTCCATCACTAACGTACACATAGAGGATAATTCAGCTAGTTTAATTTACCTAAATTGAAGTTCAACTAAAAATCAGTTCTGGAATAATAGAGTACAAGTTCATAAGCGAGTGCACTCATCGCACTTAATGGTCCTCTGCTTATTAATTTCGGTAGTAATCCTCGACTCAATCCATGAACTCCTTCTTCCACCCACAATTTTCTGAGCCCATGAAATACATTTTTATAGATAAACTTTGATGACGTCTTATGTAACATATCTTGAGTTTGTAATCGCGTTTTAACAACGTCAAACGGATTTATTACTGTACTTGTTATCGTTCCGGCGGTGAAACCAGCGCATAATTGAGGTAAGCGATGAACTTGGCCCGTATCATTGTTATCTGAATAAATTAAATAGCGTTCAATGTTTGGCCGATATAAAAGTAGTTTCATATTTTCGTACACCACCCACCATATTGAACTAGCTATTGCACTTGTAGTAAATGTTGCACCCAAACCTCTAAATACAAGACATACGCATTACAATTTTTTTCAAAAAAGCGCATAATTAAGCTTACCTAAAAAAGCCTTTATAACCTTCTTCTTTATAAATCGTTTTACATGCATGCGTAACGGAGGTATAGGAACTATTAACAATTTGTAAACGTTGTATAACAACATCACCGGGTACATAAAATAGTACAGTAACAGCATCGGCCAAAAAACCAGCAAGGAATGGAGCATAGATCGATTTAGTATTTGATTGAGATGAATTTAGTAGAGTATCTTTTGTCCAAGTATAAACACCCATATATAGGGCATAGGATGGTAAACTAACAAAGTTCGATGTCCAAAATCCGCGATATAAACTTTGTTTCGTTGTTAAACTTGTTCTTAAATGATGATTGAATGATTTTAAAAATGTCAGATTTCGTCGATCACTTTGTTCACGAGTTTTTAAAACATAAAATGGATAAAATATGGCATTTTCTACAGTACTAGCAACAGTCATTAGGCCCATAAACTTTGCTAAATTGACATTTGCCCATTCAGTTGTATGAGGATCAATTGGCTTGTTTTTATTAATTTTTTCTAGTGTAGATGGTGATTTTGTTTCATGTTGATAAATTTTATCTTGATGTTGGGGGGATGGTTGATTTTGATTGATTGAAGATGTTGGATTGGTGTTTACTAATAGTTGAAGTGAATAAAGCATTATTTATAACAACAATTTAATCTATAATAAACTAGATGTATATGAAAACAAGCTGAAAATGTATAAAATTTTAACAAATCTTTCTCTTGAATAAAAAGAGTATTTTATCTTTTCGTTCAATACAAAACGTTTGATAATTAGGATTTGAAAAACTAACCATTATACATCTTTCAACAAACTAATAATTAAATAATGAAAGTTAGCCTCTAAGTACTGAGACTAACGCATTAAAAAAAATTCTATTTATACCGATTTATTTTATTTTAACAAATGATATATGAAATTTGTTCGAAAATCAGAAAGATACGATTTATTTTACAATTTTTTACTTTTTAAAACGTTTGACGTCCAAATCGAAGATCATTCTATAAAAATTTTCAAAATCAAATTCACTCTAAATGGACTCTGAACGAACAGCTGTGATACAGATATTCGTAGACTAGACAAAAAAAAACAATAGATCAAAAACAGTTAGTACTCCTACAGTAAAAACAGTAGTACTATTAGTAGTAAACAGTTAGTTACTATTCATATTAAACACATTTCTCCAAATCTAATTCCCGATGTAACAATATTTTATTGTCAATAATTAATTTTGTTATAAGATTAAAGTTAATTGAAGCAGATTTTTATTATATTCATGTCACGCAATGATTTATAAATTCAAAAACTTGATGTTAAATCATCGAGAGAATTATTGCATATTCGTTTTTTACCATTTGGCTATAGTCATTTCATTTTCTTATTAACTTATTTTTTATCATATATTTATATATGTGTATTGATAATCATTGTTGTTTTTTGAAAACCATAAAAAGAAAAAGCAAATTGACACAAAAAGTATACAAAGAAGGCAATATGGTCTGACAAGATAAAGACGAATGCATATATAAGATATATCAGAAAAAATATGTATACATGAGAGAGAAAGAGATGATGGAAAGAAAGAAGTATAATAACAATAGAGGTATAACTAGTACAATACTATCAAAAAAGTACATTATCTAATTTGTTCAATTTGTTCACTGTTTATTTTGATTTTCTATGATCCAAGGAGGAAAAGCTCAGTATTTGTTCAATAAGCAAAAAGAAAAAGATAATAAATCTGACAAGAAAGAAGTCATTCATGCACATAGAAGAGAAAAAAAAACATAGCATAAAAACACGCAACATAATTTTTTTTTAATGGAAAATAAACAAAAAAACATCGTCTGACAACAAGTTTTCAACAAAAGACGAAATGGTGAGCGAACCAAATAAAGAGAAGCGTAGAAATATTGCTACAAGTATAAGAATAATTGTTTTAAAAACACTAGAGCGATATCGATTTAAAATAAAAACAAGAAGATAATATTAATGAAAATTAATTGTTATATGAGGCTGTCTATATGAGGATAGAAAAATGATATACAAAAAAGTGGAATATCGTATCCCGTTATAAAAAATTATTATCGTAGTCTAACAGCTCACAGTCGTTTGACGATACAAAAAAAAAAGACTATTTCAATGAAGAACACTGTCAAAAGTCTTCGATTCGCCTTTATGAGATGGAGATGTGAGTAAAAGTTGATCTGACTTTGTCCATGGAAAAAAAAAGATGTACTGATCATTACATGAAAAAAACAGTTAATCTAATAATTGTTCTACATAATTCCCAGGAAAGAGACCTCTGACACCTGGTTGCATAATTCCTTCATACCAGCCATCATCGTTTTTTGTAACCACAAATATAATGGTATTTTCTTGAAATGTTAGTTCATCTTCTCGTTGACTCTCATAATCATAAATGGCAATAACTTTTTCTAAATATTCAGACGGTGCCCATTCAAAATCATCTCCACTTTTTCCTCGTCCATAACCACGTTGTCTTCTCGGTAATGTAGCACATGCCTCAAAGAAATGTGTTGGTGCTTGAGGAATAAATTGAGGTAAATAAGATTCATTATTTCCATTTGTTGTTGACGTTGCCTGAGATGGATCATATGTATCCATGGAGGATGTTAAATGAATTGAACCAGCTGGTGGTGGTTGAGAACGAGAACGAATTGAATTTGATTGTTGTTGGGTGTCATACACATTTCCGTTATTTAACGATGTTTGTCGATTGTATTGTTGCTGTTGCATTATCGTTGTATTATTTAATATGCCATTGTGACGAGTGGCATAAACATTTTCGTTTACATAAGATAAATGTAATGGAAGAATTGAATTATTCATACCGCCATTGTACAATGAATTAGGAGGATTTCTATCGCCGTTCATTTGACCTAAAGCGGAAAAAAAATCTAGTTCACAGGAATTTTTTTTTGTTTTGATGTATTGATTTGTCATTTTATGGCATTTTTAGCCAAATCCTCTAATTAACACGAATATTGCCTCAAATTACAGTAAAGATCTAATTACCTTGCTGTTGTAACATCGTAGGATACGATTGTTGATGTTTTCGTATTGTTCCATAATCGTCTGTTACAGCGCGATGTTGTTGCTGTTGATACGCACTTGTACTATAGAGGTTTTGATTTTGAACAGCTAGTTCTTGTCGGCTAGCATATTCAGGTGGAACTAACAGAGGAGGAGGAGGAGGCGGTGGCATTGAACGCTGATAAATAGTTGAGCCAGTTGCTTTCGACAAACTAACATTGGAACTCTTAGGAGGTGTAAGTGGTTGAGTTAATGGTGTTCCATTGGAACGTTGTGTATCCATACTTGATAAACCATTATTATAGATCAAATGACGAGATTTACTCTCTTGACGAGCTAAACGAACACCATGACCTAAACAAAAAAGAAAAAATATGTTCGAAACTGAAGAATAGATTGATTACTATTTATTTAAAATTCAAATACTTCATTGTTCTTCTATATAAAACAATTATTCTACACAGTAGAACAATCGAAGTGTATGAAGCCTTTTCCGCATATTAGCACGATTCATATTGAGGAATGAGAATCAGCTTGAATCGTGTATTTTGCTGCTATAATAAAACTGATCTTCTTTTTCATTATATTTTCGTATTTAAAGATGAGATCTTTCACCAAAACAACCGATACTCTGCGCAGTAACTTTTAAGAGAAAGAACTATCTTCCTTACATACCAATATCGTCCAATAATGAATAATCGAGTGGTTTTCTAACGTATCTGACTAATTTTTCTGGATTATTTGGTTTAATGAACAAGGGTTGGCGACCAATAACTTTATTTGTTGTTAATGTACCAATTTCTCTCCTAGCTACTTTTTCTTTATGTACAATTGTCTCTTCTGTCAATGAATTCAGACTAGATTCTAATTCGTTGAATTGATTAGACTGAAAATCGAGTAATTGTAAAAAACTCGTTGCAATTGTGTTAATTTGATAGGCAACACTAGCCAGCTAAATGGAAACAGCAAAAATACCGATGTAAAATAACTCTGAGAAGATAATGATAATACTCACCGATTGAATTGCATACGATTTCGTTTCTTCATATACTTTTGATTTATCACAATTGGGTGCATTTAAATAATTATCTTGACAAAAATCAGCCACCTTTGAAAGATTTACCGCATTATCGGCTAAATTCCCTTTCAGCTGTGGAAGCTCTGATTTTAAAATGTAAGATATATCTTGAAATGGCTCCATTTCGGAATTGTTGTTGTTGTGATTGTTAGAAACGTGCATTTAGTTAATGAACAAATAATGAAAAACAGACTTATCTAGAAAAAGACTTAAACGTAGACATTAATATGTCATAAGCAAAGGACCTGTAAAGTTTTGGTCATATTTGAAAATGTTGCTGTTTCTAAATAACATAATCGGTTCGTTGTTTCCTTTTAGCTCCAAATAAAAGCTCCACAACATGGGAGACTCCAGAATGAAAAAAGTATTATATGGAACGAATAAAGCCGATGTCATTGAACAAAATTTCGATCAATAAGCGTGTTTTGCACATTTGTCGCCTAATGTCTGGACGGAAATAAACTGGATGGTTCCTTTGAGAGTATTATAAGTTCTTTCGCAATGTTTTATGTCATTTCATCAAGTCGTATTAAAAAAAATGACTTAATTAACACAAAGTCATCATCCATTTCAGGGGTGTCCCGACCAGTGGCGGATGTGGGGGCGCTCCGAAATCCTGAAAATTTTTCATTTTTCTCTAACCAAGCGGATAGGAGCTAAACATATTTCTTGTGTTCTATATGATTCCAGTGGCGGTTCTCTTTAAAAAAATCTGTCGTGTTCCATTCGTGCTCGTGTCTGTTTGTCCTATCTCTCAAAGATGAACGCACGTGTATGTGTGCTTGAGCTTGAAAGAAAAACATGTTGATTTGAAAATTTGAACAAGTTCTTTAAAAAATTTTGCTTCTTGAAAATTCTTGATCTCAAGATCTTGATCATGATTCACTACGACTATGAGTCTGACGTATCTTAAGGGTTTAGTATCAAGATCTTGAAAAGATATAATGAAGAAAATTACACTTGTTGTTCAGTCTATCACCGTTTCTGTTTTACAGTGCCCACCCATATATAAGATTTTGCAAATCTAATTAGTTTTTCTGTTAAAAGATATAACCTTCACTTATACTATTTTCGATTCATCTTTACACGGGCAAAAAAAGTATAAATGGCTTTTCTTGAAATTCCTTTCCGTTGCTGAAAAAATTCATTTTTTCTAAATTAGAGGCGAAAAAGTCAGAATTCTGCTCGTAATTCTCAGAAAACTGTAATTCTCTCCATCAGAACTCAACTTTTATGCGATAGAAACATCGTATTCGCAATCAAGATAAAAACTGAGTCGACTAACGTGTATTTCTATCCTATCTGACTACTTTAGTTTTTATCGAATTTTCAGTCTGAAAAATTATCGAGAATCATCGAGACTTTTTTATTTTCTTCAAAAGTACCAGTGTTGTTTCTGCTAAAACAACTGCGAATTCATCAGATTTTTCACCAATTATTAAATGTCATACTCCAGTTTATAGTATCGAGTTGTTTTAGCAGAAATAACACTGATACTTTTAAAGAAAAACATTAAAACAATTTATCTCGACAACGAAACGTCTTAGGATAAATCGGCTGCTTTCACAGGGTTTTCAATTCTGTTCTGATACTGATTCTAGCGGCTCATGATAATCAAATACTTAGAAATTCAACATGTTGAGTTCCCAATACAGACTTTAGTGCTAGTGAGAAATCTGTTAGTAACCATGATGCGGGGTGGAGTGGCGTGCGACGATGAGGGTGAGTGGCTACCCAACATCAAATGCACAGAAGAAATTTCCAAAATCTCTGCATATATATGGAGGAAAAAATTGTAACGGATAGCCTATAGGAATTTGTAGTTCTATAGCAGAATTTGAGAGCTCTGTCTTCCACTTCGTTGTACTTAGTAATGCAAGGCCTTTCAAGATCCTTTAAATGAATTCTGGAACTCACTCATCTAACGGCAGCTGAAATTATTGCAATTGCGCAATGCGTCTCTGAATTCTTGAATTCCAAGAATTAATGGAACTCATATTTTGAATTTCTGATCTTTCATATTCTTTGAATCGAAAGAAGTAAGAAGCCTCTCTCAATTGTTGAATTCTTGAATTCCAAGAATTGATAAAAAGTCACATTTAGAATTTCTGAATTTTTGTATTCTTTGAATTGAAAAAAATAAGATACGTCTCTCAATTGTTGAACTCTTGAATTCCAAGAATTAATAGAACTCATATTTTGAATTTCTGAATTTTTGTATTCTTTGAATTGAAAAAAATAAGATACGTCTCTCAATTGTTGAATTCTTGAATTCCAAGAATTAATAGAACTCATATTTTGAATTTCTGAATTTTTGTATTCTTTGAATTGAAAAACATAAGATGCATCTCTCAATTGCTGAATTCTTGAATTCCAAGAATTGATAAAAAGTCACATTTTGAATTTTTGTTGTATTCTTGTTGTAAACAATTGTTTTATTCTTGAGTTGAAAGAGAAAGCTTGATGTTTATTTCTGAATTTTTTCTGCTAATTCTGCATTCGTCGAATGGCTAATTCTGAATTTTTGAAATTTCAGAAATTGATAAAAACCTTGATGCTAATTCTTGAATTCTTTCTGCTAATCTTGAAAATTTTATCAATGTAGAGTTCTATGAATTCCGCTGCCCCTTACTCATCTTGATTAAAAAGAAAACTAATACGACATACGAAGATATTATTGTTATCCTTCTTATATAAAGAAATCCTTTTTGGGTCAGGGTATTCTACAACCACTCACTATCGTCAACATGAAACTAATAGAAAGTAGCGCTTAGGTGTAGAAATTTTAGTTGTAAAATATCTCGACCTGAGACGACCTATCTATAGTATGTAGACTGTCCACTTATTCTGCAATATACAAGAGAATTTTTCCGCTGAAATTCATTGGATGAAAGTTTTGGATTTACGCAGAAACCAAATTTTTGGCCCTGCTACCCAGGTCAAACAAATCTTATCAGTATACGATCGTATCTGAATCAGACAAAGTCGTTTGAAAATCATATATGAATCGTGGTATCTGATTTGTCCTCTGGATCATATAGTACCGAATAAGTGGACAATCTACATACTAATTCAAATACTACTAGTTGAAGTGTTTGAATCGGTCAACATAAGCTTTCATTAAAATTTTCTTGGATAAACGCTAGTAGCAATGTGATTTATGTTGAATGAAAGAGATTTTAATGGAATATATTGACCTCCAGTGAAAACGGATAGGGAGCTGGGAATCCTTGTTTCAGGGCCGTAGCCAGGAGGGGGATTGGGAGGCCGATCCCGCCTTGACTTTTGAAAAAATGAATTTTTTCGACTGAATCCTGTCAGAAAAAGTTGCTAGTTGATAAGACTTCCCACTATCTCTAAAGGGAAAAAATTCGATCCCCCCTTCGCAAAAATCCTGGCTGCGGGTCTGCTTTGTTTGTTTGAACGGATGTCGCCCATTTACGCAGAACATTTTACCAGCAGTGAGAAACAGCTTTAATTAAAGAAAGTTGCAGTTTAGAGCTAGTTGTAAATCTCTTGAGACTATTTCGGACGCGAATTCACTGATTCGTCTATTTATAGTCAACAAAATTATACATGAGGAACTAACGAACGATAAAGACAAACAAGCAACAATTTTTGAGCCACTATCTTGTACGTTCATTGAAAAATGTTGCTTGACCATTAACGTTTTCTTACGGACATTTTTACAGGATTTTAAAATTTTGGTAAATAATCCTGATACTGGCGTAATCAAAATATTAGCTCGATGGAGCACGGCCTCAGATTGTGATTCACTTTCTGGAAACAGTTATTTGTTCGCTTTATGCTTTTCCAACTCACGACGGAATCTCTCGGGGTTTCCTCGTCAGATAAACAATAACAATTGTCACCTTGGTTGAACGGATGATTGCTGATGATACATTGTACATTTCTCGATGTCATCATATTTGTGTAGTTAGACAATAATTGTATGACTGTAAAAATTTATTTCAACATCGTAGAAAAAAGTCTTTGAAAATAATAAAAGATTCGTAGAAGAGTATTGAACTCGTCTGTCGACGCCGATTGTGATCTCGTTTAATTGGTGAAAGAGGGGAATTTGAATGAGAACACTTTTATTTATTGTATGCGGAAAGTGCGAGAATTTTTCACTCAGAAAAAAAAGAATTTCTGCAGAAATATCCGAAGTTCAAATTTTTAAAAATTCAGTTTTGAGTTTGAAACGACCAAAACTGCCTCGTCTTGTTCAGTTTCGTACGCTCTTTCCGACAAGACATGATTCAAAGAGAACGAACACAATTTGACGATGTAAAACTAAAAGTGATGCGATGGCCCTTCGTCTTAAAAAATTTATATATCAGTAAGTTTAACGTTTCAAGGTCTAAAACCTTGGACTTTTAGGTTTTGGGCGATGAAGAATAAGATACAAACGCTTTTAGAAAATAAAACTTTTTTCATGTTACGGTGTTTTTCGCGGAGCTGGCGAATCCTCTCTTTAATTACGTCTTACATTAAGCAAGAACTAATATTCTGTGTGAGAAAAGTCTCTTATTTCATACACTTTTCTTGCATTGGAAAAACGCAATTGATTGAATGAAAGTTCTACAGAAATGGAGCTGTAAATCAAGATTCTCAGATTTGTTTCTCTTTCGTGGATTCTTCCTAGCGTTCTAGAGATATTTGCAAAAAGAGTATAATAAACAATCGCCACGTAAATTCGACGTCAAATCGTATTCAAAAAAGTTTATCTCTGTTAACAAATGGATCTTTAAAGTCGCTTCCGTTACGAAATTCCGCAAGTTGGTTCACTTTTTGATGATATGCTACTACCGTGGTAAAAACAACGTTTCAGTAACGTAGTATTCGCCTGATTTTGCATCCGATCGTTTTCGTCCAAACACTTGGGAACAGTTAAAAAATCTATGTCAATATTTCGAGCATGAAGTTGTTCTGTATAGCTGCCTAGTATTTCTCTATCAAGTACGTCGAATAACACATGCGTTATAATATAACATACAAAACAAAAGTTTTTAACTATTTAATTCAGTTTTCTAATCATTATGATGTTTATCAATGATGAAACGTTTCGTGTATTGATTTTCACATTTTAATTTGATTGTTCTAATTTACTTTTACATCTGTACGCTTCATCTACCCTGATAAATGAATGAATTATTTTTGACAAACCCTATTTATACTAGCACAAATTCTCTTCATAACTTTCAACGCCTAGAAATATGTTTGTCATGCAAACATCCTAGACAATGCATGAGCGGTCGAAAGCGGATACTTTTCAGATGCAACGGTGTAAATATATAATAGAATTTTAAACAGACGTTTTGAAAAATATTGATATGTTCTGAGATGGTTTACTTTTAAAATTTGTGATGGTAATTAAACGACTTTATATTGAAACTGGATAGATCTACTAAATTCATCGAGTTTAAATGTCTCATCAATAAAGTGAGCATAATATCATATGTCTAGTAAAAATGACCGCTAAGATATAAAATGCAAAACATTACCAGTATCATTTGCTATATAATTTGATTATACGCTAAATTTCAATTGATCACACAGTGTAAAAATATGAGTTCAAATTATCACCATATCTCATTATATTATACTATGGTGAAGTTATCAAAGTACTTCCAGAATCTCGATTATTCGTAAAAGTGTTTTCATTGTCTATATTTTGTTTCATGAATTATCAAATATAAATTAGAAACAAAAAAAACTGAGCATAATAACAATTAGACCGAACGTTGAGGCAAGAGAGAGAGAACCATGAAGGCATGTTTATCTTGAAGATATATGTAAAAAAAATGAAAATTTGTTAAATCAGGCGTGTGGAAAACGAAAAAAAGTCAACAATAACACACCTGTTGTACACAGATAACAGAGAAAAATACTAAAAACAATCTATTTTTTAAAAATTTTTAATCCTTTTATTGTAGAATTGTTTACCTTTCTTTTAGCTGTTATGACAATTAATTTACCACCTTTAACACCGACTAAAAGATGAGTGAAATCTTTTGCCAAATGTAAACAATTAATTTGAGTAGGTAAACGAATTGTACGAATCATTTTCATACTAAAACATAGATACAAACAAATTAGCAAACATACAATAACGCAGATGACTACATACAATAAAATGTAGTCAGTCTTTCACTAGAATATGATCCGATATATATCATATTATGAAGTTTATACATACTCGAACATATCTTTGATAATAATTTTTCCTACAACAGTTGATTGTGTCGTTGTTGGCGCTCTTGTTGCTCGCAAATGTGTTGGTTGATGATATTGTAAAATATTAATAGCAATAACAATATATTTATTATCACAAAGAAGAAAATCAATTATTTTATAAGGAACTAGTTCTCGATGAATTAATTTTCCATTTATTGAATACATGTGTAATACCGATGAATCATCATTTGAACTCGTTTGTATAAGAATATGCCGTTCATCCGATAATCGAATTTGTTGAATGGGAACAGGTAGAGTTTGAATTATTGAGGATAATCCAATGTGAGGAAAGACTATTATTTTTGGACCTGTTGGATACAATGTTTGAATGTATGTACCATTTTGAACCGTATACATGTTACATGTACCTATAAGAGTCGATATAATACATATATATGTGTTTCCCTATTTATATTATCAATGAGAGTCATAAGTGATTAAAAAAATTTACCATCAAGAGATCCTGACACTATGATGTCCAATTCAGTCGATAGAGCTACACAAGTTATTTCAGAATCATGTCCATACAATACGTTTGTTGGCACTAATGTTAAACCACGACTAGTCCTATCTGTTGGAGTAGTTATTGTCATTTCTTCCATTCTCACGTGCCAAATAATACATGTTTTATCTTTTGAACCGGAAACAAGAATTGTTCCGGTGGAATCTAATGCTGTACATGTTACGATATCAACATGTTTAATGACACTTGAAATAGTTTTATTTTTTGATAGACTATAAACACATAAACTACAATTCCAATGACCGCCACTAAACAAATATTTAGCATCATGACTGACACTAAATAATTTTGATGTTATCTCTAGGTCAGGAGCAAATGGAATAGTAATTATATGGTGATTTCTAGAACCAAAAAGAAAATGAAGTATACGTACGTATCGTATCACGAATGTAATTTAGACGATTTTCTCTTACCTTTCTGTTTGTAATGTTGGATCTCTTTCAAATGTAAAAGAACTATTCAAGGACTTATCATACGGTAGCCAACCATTATTTCCGACAATCCGATTGATACTCACTGTCACCAATATGTCTAACATACCTTGTTGAAAAAACGACCGTATTTGATTTTTAGGAATACTTAGAAATACTATTGGATCACAAATTTTTTCATCAGAAGGAGTTATTTCAACGAAAAATAGATCGATATGATTCAAATCCCAAAATATATTTACTGCTCTAAAGTAGAAGAGTTTAGATGTAAAACGCAACAACAGTGTGCCAAAAAGACATACCGTCCTTGTAACTCGTAGTCGACAACCACTTGTTCTTTTGTCTTTCGTTTTGGATGTTCTTCAAATAACAGTTGTGATGGTATTTGACCAAAATGCTGAATCATACTTTCAATTGCTTCTCTCGTTATTTGATCTTCAATAGCATCAACATCAATAGCTTTTTCATACGAACAATATGTGAATACATTGCAGGCATCAATGGCTTCTTGTCCCTGCTGTTTATAACCGAATATGAGATCAATCCATTTATTTAAGTGTGCACTAACATGGTCACATTCTAATGCTAAACGATTTTGATAAATAAAATATTCAACAGAATTTCGAGCCCATGGTGGAAGTTTGACCTAAAACAAAGAATGTAAAAGTGAGATAAAAGAGTTAGATAAAATAGTATCTCTATGTACATCGTTTACAATTGTATTTGTTGATTGCAATCGTCCCAAATCGAACTGATTTGAATTGATTAAAAACTCTGGTAGATAGTAAAATTCTGGTATTAATTCTTTAACATTATTCGGATTATGTAGAATACTTAACCAAGAACTATGAAATGATTGAAATTGTCTGTCAGCAATATCAAATCTTAAAATGCAATAAACATATAAAAATTAATTAAAAGTTAAAAGACGATAAGAATATTTACTTTCCACTTTGTAATTGAATATGTAAAGTGGTAAATGGTTCCATTCTTATAAGATAATGAATGACACTGGCCGCATTAGAATAATGAGTACCATAATGAAATTTTTTCATGAGCCCAGTTGGATCATGAAATGACTCATATCTAAACAATGAATATTGTGTACAGGTTATGTGAAATAATAAAGTTTTCTTTAGCGACCATCGGTAGAAACGTTTTATTACAGAGATCTGCAAATATAGTAAGGGCCTCACATTGGGCAATGATGCGGACATTTAGTGGAAAAATGAAAGTGAATATTTCTTGTTCTAAGATAGTGAGCGATAAGATTCATATTACGGATGAGCTTTTCGTAATAAACTTTTTTTGTTTAAGTCGTACCGAGTTGGGAACACTCATGTATCGAAAAAGGATAATAGATCACCATATTTCCCGAAATAAAAAATTTTCTTAGTAAAATTATTTTCTTGATCTAAACACAGTTTTGTAGCGAATTATGAGTCTACTATGAGAATTTTGAAAAAAATTCATGGTGTTTGAACGGCAAATGCTGGAGATAGTCGATGCTTTGACTGCTAATAAATCGGCAGAAAACCAGCTCCTCAGTGCAATGTGTTTCCCACATTTTCTACAAGACTGAAGCTTTTTGCATATACTCTCTTGAGTCTTGCAGAATTGCAGCCAATGCAACTTTATACAATATTTTGTCTGAACTTCACAATAGGTTTTCCATGCAAAATCCATCTTTTCCTGCTTAAAAAATGCTTTTAATTAAAAGAAATGGCATATTTGGAATCAGCGCGTCAAACTGCATCGAATGATATATATTACAAAAGTTTTTTCGAAAAATTCTAGCCTAAAGACGATTTTTTAAAATAATCTTTTTCAGATTTCTCCAGTTCTCGAGAAAAAACGTTAGTAGCAGTGATGTTAATGAATGCTTAAAGCAAACAACAGTTTGAATATGCAAAACATTTACACGTTCTGCTTGTAAGCCAGAATTGTCCATTGTAGGCCTCCCTGTCAGAAATCTATCGTCGTCTCGGAACATTCGATTTTGATAAAATTTTCATAGAAGATTGGTCTTATACTAGAACAGTGACACTAAAGTTTCGAGCCCAAAATAATGAGTTTTTTCAGAATTCGAAAAAGTAGGTGTTTATGCGGCAAAGATTTCTCGTTATTCTAAATGCTAAAAGGTTCAGGATGATCTAAAAATGTAGCCAAAACTTGGCGCTACAACTTAATCGAGTCGGATCTTTTAATTTTTTTGTTTAATTTTCCCAAAGCTTTTATGAAAAAGTTGAATAAATCTTCGCTAACTCGGCTACATTTTGAGACCATCCCGAGCTGTTTAGCACTCAAAACAGCGGAGAAATCTTTATCATACGAACAACTAAAACTCAAAATAACAATTTCGAAAAAAATGTCATGCGTTTGCTAGTACATTTTAGAGCTTGTACGAAAATGCTTGTAACTTGTTAAAGGAAAGTAGTACAGAGTTGTACCATGTCTCATTTTGATCAAGAAAGCTGGCTCTACGAATCTACGCATTTAAACAATAGTTTAATTACAGAAATAAAAACTAGAATTCAAATATTTTAGGTTTTCGAAAAGCTTTCTTTGAAACCATGAAAATTTATCTCTGAAGCAGAAAGCAACACAGATTTTAAAAGTAAACACTTTGGGCTATCCAATCATATATAAATCTTAAAATCGAGATTTTTAACGAAAATTAACTTTTTTGACGGAATGGAAGATTTTAAGAAATTCTGTCTTACTTGGATTTGACTTCAGCCATATGTGTTGGATTTTGTATTCCAATTGGTTTAGATAAATCTCTAAATGTTTCTGGATTATCTAAATTTAAATTGTCCGACGTATAATCTTTGATAACCCATGGGAAAACTGGATATTGATTTAAATCATTGAATGTTCTACCAGCTATGGTGTTTAACATCATTAAATAATCAAAATTAGATAATTCACGATTAATCCATTTTTCAGTAATACATGATTCTCGTAATATTTCGGATGGTGTAATGGTGGATGATAAGACACTTTTCATATTTGGCAAACGTAACGATATTAATTTCTGATAAATTTGTCGACGAGTATTTTTATCAAAATTTAGTAGAAAATTTGTTTGATCAATTAAAAAAAATTCAAGAGCTGATGCTCGTAAATTATAACGTCTTAAATGAACATTTCGTAGCCAATGAAGTGGATATTTTAAATCATTTTTGTTCGATGAGTTGGAACCAAGAAAATAAATGTATTTATTTGTTATTTCTAATTTGCCTAAAATAGGAAGATATGTAGAAAGAATGGCCGCGTCCCTGCTCGTCCTTGCTTTTTCTTACGGACAGAGTAGTCCGTTCCGAGCTCCCGTTTTTTTGAAAAAGTCCGGATGTTCGGAATGAAAAACGATCGGATGCCCGGAATGATAACCAAACAAAATCCGGATGTTAGGAATGCAAATCATCTGGGCGTACGAAACGGCATGAGCCAAGGTTTTTTAGTGTCTTTGTATACAAAAATGTCTGGATGTTCGTAACAATCTCTCACATTTTGTTCCGAACATTCATACTTTTCATTCCGAACACTCCGGACGACTTTCATTCCGAACGTTCGGAAAAACTATTTTATGCTATATAGACACGATTCCAAGCATCCCGTTATTTGGTCGGATGTCCGGAAGACCAAGGACGAAAAAGAACAGCCCCGAAGGAATGTAGTAAATGAATACAAATTACCTTCTGTCACAGATGTGATTGTAATTAGCGAACAATTGCTTCCAATTAACATTTTCTCTTTCTCTTCCAATAATAAATTATTTTGTAGTTGTTGATCAGAAGACATTTGTTCATCATTCAACAATTCATCATTTTCCACTGATGATAATTGTTTTTGAATGGAAAATTTTTTATTTTTTAAATTTTCAAATAATTTTTTTTGATATTCATCTACTGAACTGTACTTGAAATTCTCATCTCGTTCTAGACTTGCTTCTTCATAACTATCAAAATGAGAATTTTCAATTAGTTTACATCTCATACGATGACAATTTTCACGTGCTGATAACATCCAATGAATTTTAGTTAAAGAAGGTTTATGCCATGGACCTCGTTCACGTTCAAAATATTTCAATTTTTCATTCCATTCAGTATCAACAAGATTTTGTTGTAAACGTTGAAGGTTTAACATTTTGGAATAACGAATATATTCACTTCGACGTCGAACACGCCACAACTCAAGTATTTGACTCTAAAAAAAAAGAAAAGAAAAATACAACCACTTCTTGAAGAGAATAATTTTTAGTTAATCTGTAACCTGAAATCTTAATTTTTCCTCTTCAATTTGTTTAGTTCGTTTATCTATACCAGTCTTCATCATTTTGTACGTATCATCCCACCATTTTTGCATATTCTTTTTAAATGGTTTTATATTCTTCGATTTATAATCTTCACTCGATGGTTGACATTGTTTTTCGATGAATATACACCATTCTGTTGTTTGACAATATAATTTAAAATCTTCTATAAATGCTGGTGTTAGTTTTTGTTGTGGAACATTTAGTATTTGAACATTCATTTGCAATAAATAATAACTTTTATCAATGAGTGTTTTCATGAGAAGTATCAAATATGAATAATATTCTTGATTTTCACCTCTAATTAACATAATTCGATTGACACACATAATAAGATACGATGCTTCTTCTTTTCCATTTAATGAATGATTTTGCAGTAGTCTATAAATGGAAGCACTAGCATTCGAACAATGCAAAATATTATCATATTCTAAAAAAATAAATAATAAATTTACATCAGATAATGATTGTTCATTCATAGATGGCTGATAATTCAGATTTTCTTCAAATAAAATCAGTTCATGCAACAAATAAATTGTACCTAGATAAAAGTAAATACAGCAATAATTTAAATCGTTAAAAAAATGACATGATCACTTTCTGATATGTTTTCACACGCAGAAAAGGACACTTATTTCGTGCATTATTTTCGCTTTTTAAGAAAACAAATTCATTAAATGAAAGTTTCGGATTTTAACAAGGATCATATAGGGTTTAGGACAGTAAACATCTAAGTAAATATAACAGAACATAAAAGAAAGAAACAGAAAATAAAATTTCATCTGCGTCATCGTTAAAATTCAAAACTTTCATTCTATGAATTTGTGTTCTTAAAAAGCGAAAAAAGCCATGAACTCTGCTAACGATTCGATGAGTCATCGTAGATTTCCTAGGTCAAACAATCCACCGTAGGATCCTACAAGATTTTTACAAGATCTCACAAGAACCTACTTTAGGATGCTGTAAGATCCTATGAAAATCTTGTAGGATTTTGTAGAAAGCCTCAAAGCTAAAAAGTCCTACAAAATCCTACGATAAGATTATTGTAGGATCCTGTAGTCAGAGCTTGTAACAAGATCCTACAGGATCCTGTTGTAGGATGGCAGTAGGATTTTATCTGATTTTCTGCCGGTTTATTCTACTAAGTTTATTTTTTTCATTTGTTTAATTATTCTCTGATTCCAGCTAGCCAGAATCAGGTAATTCTGAGCTGGGATAAGCCCGAGCTTTGTGAGTACTGACTCACACGTCATCGAACAGTAGCACCTATATCAAGACCCCTACGAAATTTCTGCTGTAGGATTTCATAGGAACCTACAAAAGGAATCCTATGAAATCCTATTTTCAGTTAGGTCCTAGTAGGATTGCTTGACTTGGACTGCAGACGTTCCGTTCTTTCGAATGTTCTTCTACTTACTGTTAACTAAATTGTCACTAAATCTTAATTGCAGATGATTATCTTCTGTTAAAAAATCTCCAACTAATTTAATTAATTCGCGACTGTTAGCACCTTGAGCTGCTGTTGTTTGACCTACAACAGAAACGCAACACATTAGACTATTTTTACGCTTTAACGTGCACAAAAGACGTAAAAATAAACACACGAAGTCAAACGAGATGTATATACATATATACATTGATTTTTTGGCGACAACTACACACACGTAATGATATTTACGAACGTCGTGGAATGCAGCTCAGTGTCGCTTAGAAAGATCAATGTCCTTATAAGAAAAATAATTTGTAGAAACGAATATAATGAGATAAAGTACTTGTTTTCAGAAACCAGGAGAAACAATAATACAAACCTCCATTTTGTTGAATATCATCTATACATGCTTTTAAGCTTAATTCAAGTATACGCCGTTCTAGATAAATCAATGGCAAATAAAACTCATATTCTTCATTTAAATATCGTAATGCTGAAAATATTTGACCGCGTAACTAAACAAAGAAAAGTGAAATAGTTGATTTTTGGATAATTTTATCACATCTATCCCTGATGTTTTCTCCATAGATTGTCATTTTATTTAAGGACCCCCGTTAGGGTGTGTTTTTGCTAGATTAAGTCGGATCTTAATGAAACTGTTAATGGGCGTTGACCGAGTCGTAGATAGTTTACAGTAAAAACTTTGAATTTTATATCTCATGCCATTCGGGAGTTATGAGTGTAACAAGGGCCAAAACGGGAGACCTGCTGTTAAAGATTTCTCATCTCCCTTTCATGTTACTGAGTTCGAGATGATTTTGTAGAAAAAAACTTGGAGCAACAACGTCGCAGAATCGGCTTTTCGAAATTTCCTTTTTTCCTTCGACGGTAAATCCTAAAAATGTTGAAAGCAACGGAGGAGAAATTTGATTTTGAAAAAAACGAGAAACATTTATTGCAGAACAACAACGAGAAACAAATCTGGAAGTTATAAAATGTTTTTTTTCGATGAACCGTTTCTGAAAAACGAAGGCAAGAATAGTTTATCATAGATTTTTGGCAATGATGAATCTGACAGGCGTATGCAGAGACGTGCACATGCATATTTTCGCATATAAAATAATTTTTTCGCTTTTTCACTGCTTAGTTATGTAGCTTTTTAAACAATACAAAAACTTATCAGTGCGCATACTCATACACACACATGCACATGTACATCCTCATAATCAGAAAGATAGAGAAAGCGTTGCTTGTTCATTGAATTACTAGATGTCGGAGAATATACTACATGTGATACTGCATGTGCCTGTCAGATTAAGCATTATCGAAAACCTATGTTAAAGTGTAAAAAGTGAATTTTTACATATAGCTTCTAGAAAACGTTTTGGAGAACTATGAATTGCCGTTATTATAGAGATTAAAAGTAGGCTATCGAAAAGAGGAGGCTTTGCTGTGTCTTATGATATGTTTTCAGTTTCTTTTTTACCAAAAAATCGACTTCTCTGGCTAGAGACTCGTTAGGATTCATATCAGTAGAAGCCCAATTATATGATACCAAAAACGGAAAACTTGCTAAAACGAAACATGACCCAGATCGTAAAATCATTAGCATTGAATATGAGATCATCTAATGAGAAGAGTTTCAAATTTATAACTTCAAAGATTGATGAAATTCAACATAGCTACTATTAATTTAAATAAAAAAGTATTTTGAGGTTATGTGTTTTCTCTGAATTTATTTACTTACACGCCAACAATTATCATCTGAGCCGGTTATTCCTTTCCATAGTATCATAATAATAGCCAATATTAATGTTTCACATAGATCTTCAACTGAACGACTAGAATCTTGTTGCTCATTGATAATAGAACTACTATCATCCTTAAAGACTTCTTCAGAGACAGACGATGAACTTGTTTTATCTAAAGATCGAAAAGAATTAGTTACTTATAGGAAAACAACCGAAAAGCGGCTGATATCTCTTTAATTATTAAAATAAAATTTATAGACTTTTTGTTTTAACAAATAAGCAGAGTATGAAGAGTCAGACTATACTGATAAACTCTTAATTTTTCTAGAGTAAAAAAGATCTCGGATCAAACTTTAGATCTCATGTTACTACAAAAATTATTTCATTAAAATTTGTAAGCGGCTCCTTATTTAATGATAAATGATCACAGTTATATTGTATTAACTACAAAAATCCAATCAGCTAAGTATACGGATCTCAAACTGTAAGAATAAGATGTAGTACGCTGTCTACCTTTCATCTAACATCTGTTTTATAACAGTCATTCAAATGTACATAAGCGAAGCTCATCACTCACGGGTCAGCAAATAGCTGAAAAAAATTTTAAAAAATCAGTCAGAGCAAAGTTCGTACTTGTCTACTATTCTTGTCTATCGAAAAAGTCGCTAAAATGGTCGATTCTTTGACGATTATAATGATATAGTTGAACAGGATCTTGATAATTTTACCAGTTTCGGTTGTTATGGTGATACTTAACAGTTTTGGGTAGACTTAATTATCTCGTGCAGTGCTAACTTATTGATTACTTTGTAAGCTTAAAAGATGAAACAAAACGCCATTTCTGTCATTGAAGCTCTTTTTTAGTACGATGTTAAATTAATGGAGCATTAACAAGCATATTTGTGCTACATGATGCATATTATTCGAAAAAACTGCAATCGTAACGTAGCTATATAAAAAATAGTGTGAAAAGCAAACCTAAAATATGTCTAAGTGTTGACATAAATTCGTTACATTCACCGTCAATCATCAATAATTTATGTGATTCAATATACTTTTGTATAAATCGCAACCATCGTGCAGATGATAATAACGATAATGTTTTTCAATGGAACGTTGTTGCTTTAGTGTGATAAGAACAGATTGTATTCTAAGTTGAAAAGATGAAAAATCTTCATTTGATTTCGACTCGTGAACTAAATTTCCTCTGTCACCATCAAAATCAGACTAGATGACGGTAATGTCGCTAATAACAAATCTTTTCAGGTGAATTCACAATATTTGTGGTAGTAATATTTCACGTATTTGACGCTGCTGATTTGGATTATCTGGACTAAATGCTATTCCACAGATTTTTGGTGGAAGAGGATTGAATTGTGAGTACACTATCATCATCCAGTTATCGAATATTGTCAGTAGATCTTTATTTGTTTAACCCTTTCGGGATCGGTGAAGTTTTAAAACGTCATTAAATTTCACGTTGTCTAACACAGGAGAATTCGAATTTTTTCTCGTCTCTTCGAAGTAAACGTTTTGTTATCGCCCTATATATAGCCCTTAGATTGCTACAAAGAGGAAGATTGATACAGAAATAAATTTAAGTGGATTAAGATCTCAATCATTTTTGAAAAGTTGAGAAATTTGTAATTATTGCTCGAAATAAGTCGGTCCTGGAAGGGTTAATAAGAAGTGTACGTTAAATCTACTCGTTTTATCTTCATAATGTTAAATAAATTTTCAGATATTGCTAATACACACATGTAGAAAAAAAGTAAAACAGTAGATGATATACAAGATAAGGAGGGAAAACAAAACATGGACGATAAATTCTTATAATAAAGCGTAATGATTATTTTCCACATATCAATAATATTTCTAAGCGAAGGAAAGAAAAAAAAAAGAGTATAAGTTGTAAAGCAATTGAGTATTAATAAACAAGATAATTACTGATGATTTTTATTGAATCTATCACCTTTCATAATCGATAGTGAACGACGGCGAGTTTGAATTAAAAAATGAGCTAATGTTTCATGCCATCCATCGCATTTTGAATAGGTCTCTAAAGTATTGTTATGTGCAGTAAAGCATGTCATTAACTAAACAAAAATATTAGATAATAATGAACATGAAAAAAGTAAAATTTAATTTAATCTACTTTTCTTATAGCAGCATATCGTACATCAAGCGATCCTGTACTACACAACGTTAATACAACATTTACATGCTTAACAGCGATCGTGTTCTCTGTGAGAAAAGAAAAATGTATTAGTAGTGAAAAGAGATGGATTCTACAATTTATTTTTTTTACTTCTTACCAGACATGATAATAAGATTGAGTATTTCACTAACGATGGGTACAGATAATTCATTTGAATTGAATGATGATATAATTCCACCATAACCAATATTATTTTCTAATCTTAACAATGATTTAACTTGAAGTGGAACATGTTTTGATATTAACAAATATTTCATTATCTTAAACAAGACAAATTTATTATTTTTAATATAAGCAAATGAACATTGAATGATAAGAATATGATTTTTCTAACGGAAATTTGATAAAACCTTATTTTCATTTTTTAATTCTAAAAATCTATGTATTTGAACTTACTTGAAATATTTTTTCTTTTGTTGTTATTGATAAATCTTTATTAACAATTAATGAATATAAACCCCCTGCCATATTTGGTTCACAAAGAAATGTAACAGTCAATTCTGATGATGTAGATATTTCAAGTAACAACATAAGAATGAAATTAAGCATTTCTTGTACACAAATATCATGGGTTGTTAATGCAGATATAAACGATAGAATAGAATTTAATTCATCAAATTTAATGTCACATTGTACATAATAGTTCATTATATTTATAATACCACTGCGAATTTTTTTTGATTTATTTTCAATGTCATCATCAGAACTACTATTAAGTAGAAAAACAAACATAGCATTTAAATGCAAAATAATTTATAGTCTAATCTATCAAATAGAAGTCATTGTCGATAATAGATATATCAAATGCATTCTTTGCTACAAAGACTTACAATACAATACTTTAGAGAGGAGAAACGCACAGTGGGCAAATCAAGTGGACATTGGGTGAAAAAATAAAAGTGTATTTTGTCAAGATTCAAATACTGGCAGATATACTTTGATATATGGACTATCTAAATGGTAAAAAAGAAAAGAAAGTTTGAAAATCATTCCTCTGGAAAGAACGTATACGAAAACTTATAAAAAGAGTGGTTAGAGATTTTCGTACCACTTTTCTAGCACATGTCCACATGTCTAGTCAAAATTGCCCACTGTGAAACATACGTTAGATTTATTTGATATTTAATCAATCTTTTTTTACCTGAAATGTTGTTTGATAGAATCTAAGAAATATTGTATACCAAATTTATTTCTGAAATATATTCGATCATCTTTGATAATTTTTGTCAAATATTCTATATGCATAAGTTGAACATTTAATTTTGCTTTTTTCCATAGATTAAAATCGAGAAGTAAATATTGTACAAAAGAATTTATTAATGTTTGTACCATCGATATTGATTTATACAATTTTAGACAATCAATAATCTGTTGGATAGCTATAAGAAATTCTTGATCAATAAAATAAAATGGAATATTATTCAAATATTTCTGCAAAATTTGTACATTATAATCACGACACATTTGTTCAATATGAAGTGAATTATATTTCGATGATGAAAATATACAATGAATTAAATTTAATATTGTTGCACATGGATTTAATTGAAGATAATTATCAGTAGTTAAATTATTAGTAATAGTCCAATCAGAACATTGACTATCTATTAACAGTAGAAGAAAAATAATGTTTAGTCTATGCTAAATCACATAAATATCGGATTTATTCAATCTCACAAGCCGATAATTGTTCTTGTACAAGAAAAAAATGAGTTATTAATAAGCAATGGATATGAATCCTGTTAATATAACGATAAACTTACCAAGAAGGGTCTCTGATGGTGATGAGTCAACATCAGATAACACTGTTAAAGATGTTTGATTCATCTGATATTCTTGTTCGTTAAAACATTCAAATAAAAGATAAAGTGCAGGTATACTACCAATAGATAAAAGTGATTTTGAATAAGAATGAAGATGAGAACATGTACCATAATTTAACCATCCATTCATTTGTGTTTTGCCGGATATATTAACACATGAAGCATCTTTACAAGCTAATGGATGATAGGCAAAGATTGTTTTTGTTGCAAATAAATCACTTATTAAATGATTAAATCGTTGAGCATCGATAATGGATGAGAATAATGACGATTGAAATAATGATGAATGAGAAAAATAAAAATCAGCACCTAAAACAAAATTATAATATGACGATAGAATTTAAGTTCATTTAATGTTTTCTTATTTACCAAGTGCATGCAACTGTTTGATATTCTTTTCTTGTAATGCATCTGATAAAAGCCAAACAAATGCTATTTGTCCATGTAACGATGTCGATTGTCCAAATAGAGTATCTTGACAGTTTAAATCCGTGGTAGTAAATACATTTTGTTGAGCTCTATTAACTTTATTCATTTGTTGATTGGGTGTCATCGTAAATAAACGTTTTAATGGTTGTGCCATTTTATTAGTCAATATTGATTTATATTTACCGGTATTATTTAAAGAGGATAATTTTGAATGAGATGGACGTTGACTAGATGAACCAATACTTCCCAATGATAAGATTTCTAACATGAATGGATATTTAAAATCTTTTATACATTTTTTTAAACATCCATCAATATAAATTGATAAATGACACATTGTCCATTTTTGTTGAAAATAAACAATTGTCAATGAATGCCAACAACCGTCAATTAAATCACATTCGGGTATTTCAACATAGGTTAATTCTTTATGATCATTAACAAGTAAATATAATGATGTACTATTGCCATTAAAAAATGCTTCAAAACCCAAACCATTCTCAGAATAAAAACTATATAATTGACGACGTTGATCAGAGAGATATGGTTCTAATTCATGATTAAGACGTAACCAACAATAATAAGTTATGTGAGAACCAGACCAATGTTTGATAGAAGGAATAATAATACCACTATTTGGTCGTTGTAAATCAAAATAAGCTGAAATATTTTCTGTATCTTGATCATTGTGTTTAGCTGCTTGTATCATTATTCTTAACAGTTGTTGTTTTATATATTTATATTGTTCATCTATATTTATAAGAGAATATGTTCTATTATAAAATAAAAGTATTTGTTTTAATTCAAGTGATGTTATTGAAAATCGACATAATTTTTCTAACATAGATAATATAATATCTAAAAAAGAGGAAGTCGATCAATACAAGTGAATTTGAACTAAAAATACACGAGGCTCGATGGCAAATGCTCGGACACGTCCTAAGAATGACGAACAAAACACGAATGAAATTCTCGACGCTTCACTATTTCAACAACAGTAAGTACATCAGGTGATTTCAGAAATAGATCAAGAACAACACTGCCGATTCTTATAGACCAAGATCTAAAACTTATTGAAGAACAGCTTACCGACTCAGCAACTCAACGCGAATTACTACAACAACTCAAGCCAGTCGAAAATCTAAAGAAGTTTGAAACGATCGCGAAGCTCGGAAAGAAATGGAAGCAAATAATGGCTAATATGCATGCTCTCAAACAGTCTCAACAGCTTGAAGAGGGTGAAACATAATAATAATAAAAAAGAGGAGAATGCGAGAGACAGTGTATCAAGAAAAACAAATATTAAAATCATTTTTTACTCATTACCAAGAACAATTTTATCATATTGTTGATTGTTATCTAATATTTGAATTAATGCCATAACAATTCCATTTGAACATGCAATCATTTTATTTTGTAATGAACGAAAAAATATTAAATTTAATGAATAAACAATCTTCTGTTGAAATTCAATAATTTTTATATGTGGTAGCCAATGAATCAATGATATAACAATATGAGGATTAATTAACTCTATAAATAAATCAATGATTGACGATGAAGATGATGAATTGAAAATAGGCATAGTATTATCGTATAATATTTGAACAGTTGTTGTTTCTGTTATCTAATAAAAAAGAAAGAAGAAAATAAGTTAGATATCAATGAAAGATACGGACTATATACCAATTCAATTAATTCATTAATAAATTCCATTGTAGGTGTTTCAATATAATATAATGAATTAAATATTTTCTCATAGCCACCATAGTCGAAAAATGATTGCTAAATAAAATACAAGAGATTCATTTAATAATATTTAAATTTGACTATTATATATATCTACGTACTCTAACATTTTCTGAATTATAAATAAATTTAATAATAAATAATAGAATTATACAAATAACATGTGAATTATTTTGTTTTGATAAAATAAATTCTATTGTTTTTAAACAATTTCCTTTTAAAAATTCAATTTTTAATGCTTGTCGATCATTATAATCTTTTAATAATTGTGTTAATGATTTTAAAATAGTTAAACCAAATTGTTTATTATATTTATTTGAAAATAAATCTTCAACAGATTGAAATAATTCTTGTATATAAGCCGTTAAATCAACATGTCGTTCATCCAATGATGTTTGATGAAGAAGACGTAAAATAGTAATTAAAAGATTTATTACATAATCATTATCTTGTTCAATTAATTGTTGTTCATTATTTTTAATATTAGAAATAAGAGAAAATAATCGATTTACATCTGATTGAGTAATTATAATATTTTGATCATTAGACAATAAAAAATCATTTGAAAATAGAGGATCAAATATATTTAACATTTGTTTTTTTACAAATAAAAAAAGAAATAAAATAAAAGATGAATTGAACAAAGAGACAAGAATAACAATGATGAAAATAAATCTAGAATAAATAATATGAACTTTATTACATTTAAACATCAATTCTTCTATTTTCAGTCAAGATGTTAAAACTATTAAATTAACTGATAGACAAACATTAGTCTTTTCTAAAGAATAGTTTAAAAACTAAATATTTTGCATGAAACAAAACATTTTTAATAATATCATCTTTCATTTCATTTCAAAATAAATATTACATGAAATAAAACATAATCAAAAAAAAAGGAGATGAATGAACGAAAACAATAAAATGATCAAATATTTTTTTATTTTCTCTTCTTGTTATTTGTTTTGTATTACGTATTTTTGCTATTGTTGTTATTTAATTTGATAAGGATAATCCACGATATTGACACGAACCAATGATTATAATATTCAAGTTACAATATCATATCGACTACATCATTTCGTGTTTTAATTTTGTTTTTGTTTCAAAATTTCACCAGTAGCATTTTTTTTTTTTTATTTTATCCTACACGTTTTTCATCCCATAAGAATATAAACGTTCTAGGCCAAAATTATCTTTTAAAAATACATTCACTTATTTCAATAGCTATAGGAGACATACTTAGAATAGAGCATAGATTTCAATTTTAATATTGAATTATTAATATATAACTTTTGTTTTTTCATAGACATCTATCTTGTACATGTGAAGTTGTTTTGTATTTTGGGTTTGTTTTTTTACATTATCATTTGTTGAATATTTTGATTGTTAAGTATAGCAATATTGGCAAAATAAACACTTAAACCTGTTCGATTTTTAATGCGTTTATGATGAACATTAATTGTTTATATTGATTCTTTTTTAACACAAGAAAATCGTTGAAAAACAGAAAGAATTTATACAACAAGTTGTTATTATCAGATACTTGATAAACAGTAGATTTATGTTCTTCTAACATAGGCAATAATAAATGAAAGATTTTTACTGTACATTTGCAATATTCAATTCTTCAGCGCCTAGATTATACTCTATATAAATCGTTAGTTATCGTCTATTATGGAGAATATAAATATGAGAAAGAGCAAGTATTTATTTGAATAGCAATAGTAAAACATCGTCTTTTTTTTTTTTCTCATTCGGTTTTCTATCGAAGTACCATGCACATTCAAAGACTGCAAAGAATCGAGAATAAAAAACCAAAAATAATTTCCACTATTTTTATATGTAAATTTATACTATAGGTATCAAACGAATGCCTATATAAATACTATTTATAGTTAAATATTAATAGTACCTTACCATCACTATTGATGTATTAATTCATTATCAATTTTTTTGTAATTTAAATTTAAATTAAACTAGAGACACTGATATTAATAATTTTTCATTATTGAACAAAATTTAATCGGTAAAATTATCTGGTTAAAATCAAATTTTCTAATTTGATACGTTGTGCTAACACAATTGTAAATATTATACAATATGAAATTTGATCAAGAATATTTTACTATCGAAAATGAATCATTTGTTGACATTATTTTCTTTTCTTCATTAAAATTCATAGTTAAAATTAAACCGAAAGTTATATGAGAAATAGGAATAAATTCTACAATATACAGTGACGGTAAAAAAATTTCCGTACATCCCCAATTTTGTTTTCTTCTTATCATCATAATTCGATAACGAAAAAAGCTTTTGACAAGGGGTTTACACGAAAATATTGCCCTATGTTTGATGAAAAAGACAAAAAAAATAGTTATTAAACGACGAACTAATGGGCAAACTTTTCAAACAAATCTTGAGAATTATAACAGGCGAGTAAAATGGGATCATTTCTTATTTTATGCACGATATTTCGATTTTAATCGATCATTATCAAATAAAAAATAAACTGTGAAAAATGACTGTTCATACCTTTTAATGCTATTTCCATTTGATAAGTCATCGACTGAATTTAGTGAATATACGATACAAAGTTGTACACACACACACACAGTTTATTTTTTACTTGATAATGACCGGTTAGAGTGGAAATATTGTGAATCTCATTTTACTCGGCTGCTGTAATTCTCAAGTTATTAAACTTTTTAACGGGATCGATTTTTCGATTAAAAGATCGGTCAAATTCTTCCATTTAACATCCAGACTATATTTACCTTACTTGATTTTTGACGCTGTTTCGAACAGTTTAATTAGAGTGTTTATTAATCCATTCATTCCTGAGATTGAACAGTCAGACTGAAGAAGTATGACAATTTTGATTTAAAGTCGTGTTTTTATTCTAAAGAAAAAGACTTTTGAAAATTATTTTTTTTATCGATATGTAGCTTGCGCTTTGTTTTATCGATTGATGTAGTTTTCTTATTTTTTTGGTCTTTATAAAAAAGATTTTTATCAACTGTACGGAAAATTTTTGCCAATTTGAAAAAGTTCACTTTTCAGTTGAATGAGTTTACCACGAGCAACAATGAATATTTCTAAATTTTTTTATCTGCAACTAGATTGAGTGGACAATATTGTGGTGCAAACAGCTTGTCAAAAAAACGTTTTTTGTCATCGAGTTATGATCAAAAGGAAAAAAAATTGGAGTGCACGGAAAATGTTGATCGCTACTGTATTTTTGTATACTTAGTGTCACATACACCAACTTGTATAATTGTGTGTCATTTGATATACAATTTAAAACGATAACTAACATTTAAGATTAATTCGTAAAAACTATGTTAAAATATCATTACTAAAAGCATTACATAATAAAAATTTATTGAAAAAGTGAGCAAAAATACAGTTGTTGACTCTTTTTAATGGTTAATTGGTAAAATAGTTAAAGTTATTTTGAGATCAACATATTATATTGGTTTTTCTTTCGAAATCAGGTAAGATAGATTACCTGGTGTTTCCAGCCTTTACTTGTTGAACTACTTGGCTTCTTGTAAAACAAGACGAATATTCTAAATGAACATAATGACGTTAATCCATTCTCATTTTATTTTGAAAGAAAAAATGAAACGCTAACAAGTCAGAAATAATCGCAAGATATAAGCGTCAATGTAGAGTGGAAGAAAAACAAGCAAACGAGAAATCATTTACAATGAAAAAAAGAAGGGAAAGTTTTTCAATATGCTTTTTCACAAACTCATTCCAACTAAATGTACACAAAAAAACATAAAAGAACAAAACAGACGAACCGGTGTGAAATATACAAAAAACAAAAAACAAAAAATTTCTCACATTTCATTCTAGCGAAATAACATTTGAAATAAAAGTCAAAATAAATATGGTATCTGAACGTTGAATATATCGATGTCTTTTTTCATTCTCAAACAAATAATGATTGTAAAAGAACAAATTAATAAAGACATGGCTCAATTATGCCAAAATTATGCCAGAAATGTTAGTTACACACAAATTTTTTCAAATCAGAAAACAAAAACACTAAAGGAATTTCTGAATGTAAACTAAAAACAATTCATAAGAGACGAAAAATTTGAAAAGTTGCAACCAAAGTCAGTTATACAAGATAAACACTCTAAAGATCCAAATTATAAAGATATCGACAAAAACAAACAAAAGAGTAGCATTCCACACAGTAAGGACTTCATGTATACTCCGTAGAGTGTTTTTTTTTACCCAGGCTTGTTTCACAGTTAACTAGTAATCAGCGTCGAATAGGAAAGATCATACCTAGAAAGTATTACCACAAATATGATTGTTTAGAGGCTTTTCATTACTCAATACCCGTTAAAAGTGACTGCTAATCAATTTTACTTAGATTGTGGCTATCCTTATGCACATGGACAGAGAAAAATTTATTTTCTGTTTATTCGAAGACTAACTATTCTTAAAATAGGTGATATCTTTGAAAGTGAGCGAATAATGCACACAATCTTTTTTACCATCCAAATAAAAACTGAGTCTTACGAATGGCTCACAAAGGCAACAATTCAAAAGAGTAAAACGTGAAGCAAACATTTTGTACAAATAATCTACATAAAAGTAAAAAAAAACGAATGATGTAGCAAAAATAATTCTGTTAAAAAAGAAAAAAAATAGTAACCACTGTGTGTTTTTTGTATACAAAAAAAAAAAGATGAGAAAAGAAAAAATTCACAAATCCTGAGTCTTTTTTTTTTTTTTTTTTATTAATGTTGTTGTTTCTCTAGTTTATCACAGAAAATAAACATGCATACACGAGATTCTGTGTGTTCCGTTTGTTAGACGTTCCTATACCAAATTATTCAATGAGAACGATAATATCACATAACTAATAAATAGCAACTTATAATTGGATAATAACAACAAATGTGACGAGGAAAATAATGATTTCTGAGACGGTTCATATAATCGAGAATTGTCGGATGCTAGAAAAATAGAAATAAAATACATCAATAAATTAGCAAAAATAAAAAAATAAAAATAGGTTTTATCGTGTTAGCTGATCGTACAGAAAAATAGCAATTTATTATTTAATGGAAAACATCAATAGAATAAAATAGCAATAAAAAAAAAGAAATAAATCCATTTTTACTTACTTATAAGTCTATATGTTTGTTTATCATAATAATCGTTTCCTATTCGACATTCATATGTAACATACAAAATACTTGGATCTGTTGTTGTAAAATTAATTTTCATTCTAATTAATGTTTTATTACATACGCTTAAATGACTATTATTCCAAAATTTGTGTGGCAATGTACATTTATTATTATCGCTCTCATACTTTAATAAAATACCACTTGGTCGAACTTGATCCGTTAAACATCGAATATAAAGATTTTCAGTTAAACCCACATTAGACAATACACGACATTCTAATTCAATATCATTCATTATATCACCAAAATGTGGAGTTATAGTTAAACGAATAGGATTCGATGTAGCCACTTCATCCACACCAAAAACAAAGTGAATGAATAATAAAACTAAAAATAGAAAAATAAAATTTGAGTCTACTATTGAATATTCACTTTTCTTAATTTTGAGAAAATGTTGATAATAATAGATAATTACTCCTAATGAAATATTTTCCCACGTTTTTAGGTCAAAAGTCTTATGCTTCAAAGATTAAGTTTGAACTAATTATTCTAAAATGTGGTGTCAAATAGTGGATATACGTAGAATATTTCAGTAAAAAAATCTTATCCAAAAACTGTGAGGCCAATAGAGACAGAAGGTAATCTCATACTTAGATGTTGATTCTAGCCTCCAAAAAGACGATTTCATACTTTTTAAATCTCAACTTGATTGTTGTATGTTGAATATGGCTATTGAACGCCTGAAAAGAGCGATAATCAAACGATATATGTAGAAGTTTCATAAAAAAGCAGAAACTTTAGTCCTTACTCCATAGAAAAAATTATCAGAGTCAAGTTGAAGTCAAAAAAGTATTAAATCATTTTTCGATGCTAGAATCAGAGTCATCAGATTATCTTATGGTGGGAAACGTAAACATTATCTGACATAAGTTGATGGTTGTCGTTCGAATATCGATCTCATTCAAATATGTATATTTTTCATATTTGGTCGCAAAATATTGATGCAGAATGCGTTGGAATAAAAAAAAGAGACACTCAAATAAGACGCTTTGCATTTTGGTTCTAGCTCAACAACATTCGAAGATTTTCAGAAGATTTTTGCATTAATATATACAAAAATATTCGATTTTTACTACTATGTCCAACAGTAAGTTTTTCCTATTAAATGGTTGAGAGTTCCTCAAAAATGAAAAAAAATGACAAAAGTTTTTAAAATGTATCTTTTTTTACTTCTCAAAGTATTGAATATTTTGATAATTTTTAATTCTTTAACTTAGAATACTAGTATTCTAAGTATTCTAAGTTAAAGAAAAATAGATCAAAATCACGAAGATTATTTACACACATTCCTGAAAATGTCAATATTCTTATTAAAAGGACAAGGTTTTTTAGACTTACAATAGGCAATGAAAAGATTGACGACTGGTGCTGGTACCATGATGATGAATATATATCTAGAAAAACTATTTAAAATGACATTATAAAATGTATATTTATTAACGATCTTGCATGCTGACTTATTTCACACCGACATATACTCTCTATTCAATACAATTGTGTCAAACACTAATAACACATACGAAACCTTTGAAATGAATAATGACTGTTCAAGTTCAATGAAGGAAAGAAACGAAAGAACGAAAAAAAGAAAACAGTGTTTAAACATATTATATAATAGAGAACATGACCTTTTTCTTCTTTATATTTTTTTTATGCCTCATACTCACTAAAATGGTTAAGTAATACGATAATCAAGTGGGGGTAGAGAAAGAGAGGATGATCGCATGCACACATAATACAAATTACTTTATGTATTAGACTTAAATAGAACTGAACAGAAAAAAGAAATACTAAACGAACGATTCAGCTCATCAATTAAATAAAAATGTACAATATGCATATGAGAATGAACAGAAGAAGACGGCAGAGAGGGAAAAAAAATGAACAAATATTAAAAGAGAACTCTTAGTAGATTGATAAACAACAAAATCAAAAAAAACATTGTTGTCAAGAAACAAATCAACTTTTACTGGAGATCGAAAGCTGATTTATTTTTAGTTAAAAGAACTAGAATAATAAAAAAAAAGATTATTAGAATCAAGTCAAAAGAAAACTATTCTACGATTTCAACAGCTTTTAAAACAAAAAATATATTTGACACACAGTTTTACATCTTCGTTTATATCAAAAAATACTATAAGAGAACATAGACTTTAATCAATCAGAATGGTGAATTTCTTTTAAAAATAATTATGGTGAGCGATTTTGCATCGTATCGGTACGATCAAATTTTTTCTTTCCATCACTGATCTCAATCATAATTTACTATTTCAATGATTGATGTTCGCGCAAAACGAATTCCAAATAGTATACGTGTATAAAAACACTCACTCAGTCTGATCATTCATGTCAATCAATATATATATATATATATATATATTGTGGCAGAGATCTAGTCCAATTCAACATAGTGAGAAATCGTTTTTAATTACAGAAAAGTTAGAGTTTTGAAAACTTGGACTGGTCTTCGCTACGCGCAGTTTTCGAGACTGCCTTTCTGTTACTTTTTTTCTTTGCTACCGTCAGAATACATATACTGAGAGTTACCGAATTTTGGTGGCTTAAGGAAAAGTAACGGAAAGGCAGTCTCGAGAATTGTACGGAAGCGAAGGCCAGTCCAAGTTTTGAAGAGTCTAACTTTTCTGTAACTAAAAGAGCAGTGCCAATAAACTCATTTAGTTCAGACAAACTCAGTTGTAAAATAAAATTTTAGTTCATGTATTTAAGTGTTTATTCTTATAAAACTGATTTTATGTTTATCGATAGTTGTAGCTTAGAGTACAATAATATAATTTTTTCGCTTGTATTCTAAAGTGCACGTAAACTATAGAAGAGAATAGTCCTAAAACCATGGGCACATGACAAATATGAGAAAAATCTATTTTTTTTCAAAATCATTGACATGAAAACTTGTCATAAAGAAACAAAATATTTGATAGTGAATAAAAATAGTTAATATTTTTTGCCAATAAATATTTTAGTAACAAATGTAATATGTTGATATTCGTACTATGTTTTCTAATTCTGAGAGGAAACGAATTTATTGTCGTCTATAACACGTAACTCAATAAGCCTTACGGCAAGATAATAATAAGAAAATATATTAAAAAAATAATATGTATTCAAAAAGCGGGTTTATCGAACTGACAAAGAAAAATTGATAGAATCATTGATGACATATTATCAACTCTTTTGAAAAAAAAACCGACTTTATACTACGAGAAATGAACTACTCAAGTTATTCTCAAGCATACACGACTATTTTCTCCAAAACATTTGATAAAGTATAAATCGCACTACACCAATTAAAATTCTCACTGGATAATGCAGAAAATTCCAGTCTAAAAGTCAAGCATGTATTCAACCATTGAGAAATCTGTCAACTACATGGAAAAACAGTTCAAATTTCGCTCAATTATCAGTTCTGAACGTAGCTCACGTCCTTACTGACTCGCGTTTTATATTGGGTAAGCGCATAGACGCAGAATATGAGTTCGAATGTGTTCAGGTACTAAAGAACGAGCTGTAACTGTACGGTGTAAGTGTTTGGACACGATCGAGTCAAGCTGTTCGGAATATTTTTCGTGTAAGTTCGAAGCCGGATGCAATGAGAAAAGGCGTTTAACTTTCTTAACTGAGCATCTCAACTGATGCAAAAAAACTTTAAAGTTTCTTAACAGTTAAAGTTCTTAGCAGCCGGTTTAATGATTAATGGAACAAGTGCAAAATATGTCCGAGCGATCCCTCAGTAATAGAAAATCTTTCTTTTTATTCCATTAGCTCTTTTGAAAAAGACATAGACATGGATTTAAAAGACATAGATTTTAAAACTCTGACGGACAACTCGGCAACCATGAAAGAACGGCGGCTCATATTCAAATAATAGCTCCTTTGTATTGCTTTTTAAATGTAATCTATACTATATGTATATCGGTATTTTTATAGTTGTTTATTATCCTGACAAAAGAACTAAATGAACATCTGTCTGAAACGACGTTTTCTCCCACTATAACTATTTGTAAAAAAAACCTACACTGAGTCGGGAAAAATAAATTATCGACTCGCCAATCTTTCAATCAAACGAAAGCAAAACAGAAAGTCACTGTAATAAATGAGTTTATTTCCACTGTTTTCCGCGCAGCAAATGAAATAAAAAACATTTTGCATCAGTAGTCGATGATCAGCTCGGTCTAAAAAGCTGGATCAGCAAGCTATGCTGTTTTATCATGGCTGAATCAGACTTCATTAAAAAGATGTATCGTCGGATTCAGAGATGAAAATTCTAAACAGTTCATTCAGTTCTGAGTCTGGTGGCGGAATTAAAACTGAATTTTCTGAAGACAACTTCCGCAATTTCAGAGCTGATTCATGTCAGCGTTTTCAAGTCTGAATCAGTTATTAGAAAAAAGACATTCATATAAATAACAAGGTTACTTGAGTCAGCATTGATAAGGATATTCAGTTCTAAATCAGTACTCTAGTGAATGTACTTGAATTCGGGTACCTAAGAACTTTGACTGCCGCAAGCCAAGTGTATTCTAAGTACGTATGACGTGACTGTATCAGGGTACCCAATAGATACCTGATTTCTGCACATTCACTAGGGTACGTAGCAAAAGAAGAAAACTTTTTATGGAAAGTAATTTTATAAAACTGCATCGCTAATCCAGCTTGTTGATCGGCGATTAGTGATTCCACTTCGTTTTTTCTCCCTTCAAAAATAAATTATGTATTTGTGTTTAAGCAACCTATGTAAGCTCCAGAACTGTCGACTATGCCTTGATTTCTGTGAGAAGCCTTCATTTGATCCTAGAGTCTATTGTTTAAAATTTGTCCGCTGTCAATAGTGGGAATAGCATATTGCAGATTTGACGTTCGTGATTAGTGTGAATTTCGTAGTAGTCTCAAATACAGATGTGAAATTGCGATACTATTATTTTGATATAATAGATAATCTGACTAATATAATAGATGAAAGTTAATGGAGAAGTCTCAGTCCCTTACATTTCAGGACAAAGTAAAAAATCCAAAATGAAAATCTCAGCATAGTGGACTGCTAAATTCTAAAAAGAATTCTTGGTATTCTCTGAATTTCTGTATTAAATTGAAGCAGAAACAGACATCTACCATTCTTAATAGAAATTTTTGTCATGGTACTGTAGAATAAACATCATAGTGGAAATTTTTCAGTTAAAACTTCGAATTCAGCCGAAATTCACTTCACAATTTGATTTATAGTTAGAAACATGGTGGGAATTGTAAAATGACGATAAAAGTTACAGTAGCAAGTCCGCACCTCCAACGCGCTATTAAAAATCCTGGATCAGTGGCGAATCCAGACTAATCAATCTTTTGTTCTTTCTTTATGAATACACGCGTTGTCTTACATGTGGTCAGTTGATTGACAGCGCGTACATAATATAGGCAGAACGAAAATCAGCACGTACGCAGGATCCGCTACTACACTGGACGTCAAGAAAAAGTTGTCTTTTAATACGGGAGTTTGTGCGTGATGTGAAATAACTGGAATGTCAGCCACTTCAGTCAAATCTAACTTACAGTGTTCAGTCTTAATCCGCAAGAAATCTTGTGATTGACTTCTTTGGAAATAAGTTGCAGTAAATAACGATCGATATAATAGACTAAATTTTGGAATTTACTTTTCTATCGACGAAATATGAGGCGAAAGGAAAATAATGAAAACGATGCCGGACAAGTATGTTTTACGCACGAAAATATGAAGGAAATTAATCTAATTTTATATAATCTATTCAGATTTTTAACTAGATCATAAATATCATGAATTCCTCTACAAATGTTTTGTAGTTTATTAGTTGAAGACTACTTCTTCATCCTCTGCATATATTATTGCCATGCATCATGTTTTACTCGGTCATTTCTTCAAGAACATGATGCATTCGAGCTAGTACATGTAGCACAATGCCCACGTTTCTAATATGAATGATGAAATTCCCTAAATATATTACGACGGCTCAATGGTACAACAAGGAATTTCGATCTGTTGTGTGAACCTAAATTAGGTCGAAAAAATAACTGCGCTACCTTGCAAAGATTCGAGAGAAAGTCCTGCGCCAAAAGAATTTTTGAAAAGTTTTAGCTGTGAAATCATTGGAAAACATGAAGGATGCTTAGTTTCGCAATATAAGCTGGTTGACGATTCCTCCAAATGTACTAAATTGTACGATTAAAGAAAAAATCGCATCAATTTTTGACAATGATTTACGTGCGTTTTAGACTGTTAAAACAAATCGAATCAGTTTTTGCTTCTTTGATCATTTAAAGTATACGTGGTCGATAAAAGTTATATTAGCTCCTAACTCTATATGGATTCTACTCCATCCATACGGCTTCATCTTTGCCACAACCAAGCAATAACAGGAAAATCACCGTTTTATCCGCGGTTGTTGTCTAAACTTAGGACTAAGAATGACTGAACTGTACTAATAAAAGTCCGCTGATGCCAATTTAAGTGTCATTACTTTTTGCTAGTAGTACGCTTTTAGTGTACTGATGATACACTTTAAGTGTGCCTGTAGAACACTTTTTGGTAGCGTCTAGAAGCGAATCATAAATAAAACCACACTTAAACTGTCTTTTTTTGTTACCCGAACATGCTGAAAGCACAGAAAAAGTGTGCTGTTTCTCCCGTATTGGAGACTGGAGGTTGGACTTCTAATGACACACTTTTTTCATGCTGTTTGAACACTTTACCGTGAGGTAACTTTTAACTACGCCTCTTAAAAAACAAAACACAGTTATTCAATTGATTGGCTCTTTTAACAGCCAATTGAAATGCCGAAAGATCCTTCTGAATTTCGCGTACGATTGGAATTTTTAATTATTTTTTATATTATTTAAATTTAAGATAGCATAAAAAATATTAGGATTTCCAGTTTTCCAGTAAACTGTATACCAGGAGCGGTACATCACACAGGAGCGTAGCTAGCGTCTCAGTCCTGCCAAAAATGTTTTCTGAAGAACGGAAGACACAAAACAATGACTTTTGTAAAAACTAGGGGATGGTAAATCACTCCACCATCTGACATCAGAATTGAACGTCGTCATTCTTTACAGATGGTGCTACTAATCATGATCCTGTCGAATCTTCTTTTGAAAGTTAAATATTAAATATTTTACCTTCGTGAAGGTATTCCCGAGCGGGTGCCTATTTACTTATGTATTCTGTGGGCACTTGACCAGTGCTGGGTAAGTATTTCTAAACGTATATGAAAATATTTGCTAGATACTCCAGTTACTTGTTAAGCCTATTATAGACACCCGCCGGTTACTTCTATTGAAGAAGTTTTTCATTAAGTGCTTGACAAAAAAATAAAGTAATTTTTAACTTGGAGAAAATCTCAACAGCGTTGGAGAAACTTTGCGCAACTACTCATATAGAAGTACATTCATTAGCGTTGAGAGTTTTCCGTTGTATCAAGCATTTCATCATCATCATAATAATAGAGTCAACTTTTGCGTCTCCATTTAAATATGGGAAACATAACTCAAAATCAGTTTAATGTTTATGGCAGAATAGTCTAATTTAAATACCTTCCACTTAAGGGTACAGTGTTTTTTCGATAGTTCCTTCAATGCAGTCAAATTAGAACCCCTGGGGTTCGTTCTTTTTTTAAGCGTTTTTTATTTCAACTTTCGGCGTAGGAGGATTTTTAAAATAAAAAACCGATTTTTTTCTACAGAATTTTTTGGTCTTTTTCGAATATCTCGCGAACGAAAGCATATTTTTCGAAAACAAAAAGAAACAAACCTGAGATAGTGTCTAAAGTATCTGTGATAAAATTCTCAGTTCGATCAAATTTAGTTTAATCGAGGGGTCATAATGTGACCCGATGAAAACTAGATTTTTTCAGGAAACCCATAGAAGAACATGTCAGAAAATCCTGGACAAAAATACATCGATTTTCTTTGTCGATGTTCTCTAATATAAATTTCAGCCCAATCAGCCATCGGCTTCCCCGGTTTTCAAGAGGCGCAAACCGGTGCATACCTAGTATAATTTCAAACTATCAAAGTCAACTTAAGTTATTGGAGCTAGTAAATGGTTATAAAATGAATTTAATACAGTATTCTATCCTATATTAATTCAAATCAAAATGCAAATACTCATTCGATAGAACCAAAACTATTAGAAAAATTGACAGCATTAATCATTAATATCGACTGAAACAGATGTGTGTAGCGAAGAATATCCACAGTTTCTTTCGATTATTCCTTTTCAAACACCAACATTAAATCAATATGTATTGTGCATGTATGGACATTAATCAAAAATAAAAAAAAGTATCCTGTTTAAAACCGTTAGCCATCGACTGTTGTTCAGCACTAAATTTGATCCATTCGACCTTATTTCCTTCAATTATTTGTTATTTACACATGAGATCAGAGCTGGATAGCTCCGGCTCCCGGAAGCCGTCTCTGTTTATAAACAGAGTCGGAGCCGGGGTGCGGATGATGGTATGCGCGTTCGATCGAGATAAAAATGACACTCATACGGCAGATAGTTATATGAGTGTGTGCGCTGATGACACGTTAATATATGCTGCCTTAGTCTTGACCTTCTTCTATTAAATGTAACGCTTTAATTAATTACAGTTTGGGCGTTTGGAACGAATATTAGACTAAGTGACTGACTTAAAATCAGCCGCTGTTCGTCTTTACCTTATTATACATGAAAACTTTTCGACAAGTGATAAATGGAAAACAGTTTTTAAATACTGAAAACTTCAAAACAAAATGAATCAAGAGAACCGCTTAGAATATATGGATAGTTTATATTTTATTATTTCGATTTATCTATATTTTTTAAATTATATTGAACAAGTTGTTTTCTATGTAAATGTGTTAAGTATCTGCCAAAAAAAAGAAGGTCATCATTTTTTCGTCTATGCAATATTAAAAAAAAAAGCGCCGTTTGTGTTGTTTTTGAGATGATACGAATCTGCTCAATCATCAAAATAAATCGGAAATGTTATGTACTATTTAAACGCATAGCACGCAATTTGTTTATAGTATACATTCTCTTAGTTACAGACAAACAATAAAAAACATAAAGCAGTACATACAATCACTTATTTCTATAAACTACTACATTGAAAACTAATGAGAACGATAGTATTGATGTTCTCAAAATATATTGAGTCTGCACAATAAGATGAAAACGCTCGGAAAGATGGTTTAGCGATCAGTATGAATGTTTCTGAGACAGTTTTCAGTATTTCGACCTTATATAGCTACTAATTTCCTTCGCAACATTTCTGTTTTTGTATTGTCAAATGCACAGAACCAAGCGTCATTACATTTAGAAAGAACTATTAGTTATTTAGTCAAATAAAACATTTAATACGTATTTGGTAAAGAATTTCAAGGAACACCAAAAATGAATTTAGATCGATTGTAGATATTAGCAAAATACTCACAGAGGACCATATTTTCTGAGGTCATTTATTTGAATATAGCTTATTCAATTGTTGAATATAGTTAGCATCTCACAAAATTGATTACGAACGAATAGTAGCAGTTTGTTTATCCGTTGATCAGAATTTCAAACATGGCTTAATATCTAAGAAGAAAAGAGCTGGATAAAAGATTTCTTGTAAAACGAAAACAAGTATTGTCAGCTAATAACGAAATTGAATAAAAATATTCATGCACATTATTTTACTGGCGTTGAGCTCGAATTTGACGTATTACTTTAAAACTGAAGACAAAATATACTAACGATGTTTTTCTTAGCGAAAAAGAGAAGTTTCGATATGATACTGTGAAAGGTAAAATCTTGTAGCAAGAGAGAGTACTAATACAGTATTTTTTTTGGATAAGTAAGAGATGTGAGGAAAAACTCCTTCGAAAACACATCTCTGTAGTTAAAAAGAAAAAAAGAATGGTTTTTGAATAAAATCTAAACAAATTATGTATTTTGTAGCAATCTTATACTTTCTCATTTTACATCTCTATGGTGTTTGTCCATAATTTACAAGTTTGAAACCAATCTTTAGTCGTCGTGCTTATATAGTAATTATCTGTGTTCATCACAAATACTATTTCTTTATTTAAACCCGTAAACTCAGTTTCTATGCGACAGGTATCACTGTGTATAAGATGACGTCATGTGTAAATAAAAATTTCGCAATCATTTTCTACTTCTCCGTGTTGAAACTTTCGGAAGGGTAATGTAATTGTAAGATCTCCAAATAAAATCTTAAAAATAAAACCAGCAGTAGATTTTTTCTAATAACTGAACTGCTTACCAAGCAATTTTCCATCTCACTTTACATGAATAAAACAAACCTAGTCTTAGTCCATTTCTTTGGTATGAAATACTGTTCCTACTGATTTTTTCTGTAGAATAAATTCAATGTTTTTTGATAAGAAATTTTGCACTTAAAATGGCTATAAAACGAAGGTGGAAGTAAACGGATACAAAGTCGCTTATGTGGAAAAACCCTATACTATAGAATGATGCCATATTCTCGAAGAACATAGATCAACAAAAAAATTATCCATCCTTTACCAATTAACAAATGCATCAACATGCCTATTGTATTCACTAAGATTTTTTTTCAACGTAACATTATATTTAAGGATAGATACTCTAAACTATCCTTTCAGTAATAGTAGAATAAGGATATAGTATAGTATTTATCCGATTGAAAAGTCCTAATTTCGAGTTGTTATTGGAGTAAAAATAGTTTACGAGTTACTTTGATTGGCTGTTAAAACCTGAAAATAACTATATAAGCTCAAACAAATATGTATATTCTCAGTTGATTTTGTTCACAAGCGAGCAGCAATATCATCTCATATGAACATTTATCATATTTAATTTGTGCTTATTATAAAATTAAAGATAAATAAAATCAAAACGTACAGAAATTGTGTTTTTCTTTACAGTTCATGCAAAACGAGTTCTTGAACGTTCTTAAAGAAAGTCTTTTGAAAGCAGTCGATACAAATGACATTGTGAGTAATATCAAATCGGACTATATTTGATTTGAATATTGCTCTCGGCCAAATAATATTAAAAAAATGAAAAATAAAATCTGGATTTATTCTAAGCAGTTCTGGGATTCTAAAACATTTAGTGCACGTAATTGTTGTGATTTCGCTCATGAAAATAATGGAGAGCGAAGTGGGTTCTTGCTAAATTCTGAATCAATACACTCTCGGTGTGCTTATATATCCACAGATCGGTCTAGTATGCATTTGTCCTTCGATGAAAAACAAATTTCCGCTCTATTGAATATTCTGTGAGAAAAGCAAACGTTTAAAATTTCATCAACTATGCGCTATGAGAAGAAAGAGCAGATAGAGGTAGTTCCTTTTTCTACTATGATCACACTGTCTAATCCGCATCTTCGTCGTCCGTGATGTAGTTTACTTTCTCGAAACCGCATATGTGGCCTAGGCTTCTTCCAGTAAACTAATTCAGCTGTGCAAAGATATCGTTGGCACTTAATTAAGTCATTCTTCACTATAACTGTTACCAGTTTTTTGACGAAAGTCACGCGTTTTGTAATGTGCCGAGAACTATTTAGCATTGAGATGTTTCGTTTGCTCTTACTTTCGAAAACAACTGCGGTGTTTGAAAAGCGAGATAATTATGTGCTAAATCTGGTTTATTTAAGTGCGTATTGTCAGAAGTTGTCAGGATTCTCAGCTTTCGTATGTCTGAGCGATGCCTAAGAAGAACTTGCTTTTTGTATTTTTGTTTTTCGGTAACTGTTCGGAGACTATTGTGTTGATTAAGATTGAGTAAACATTTTCTCATAACTACTTTTGTCTCTTATATATTTGCAGGTCATTAAAGAAGATGCCGTACTTGATATTATATCACAATTGGAAAACAGCCAAATCACAAAAGATCAGTTGCAAGTAGGTGATGTTCCAAACACGTACGGTCAGCTACAGAGCTTATTACGCTTAACCTAGTCTTATTCGATTTCTTTCACCTACGGTCTCGGATACAGTAAGATGGTGCATTTTTTTGTAGATGGTTTTGAATGCAGGTTTATTATCTTTTCGTTGGTCAATGATAATAAGATGTTTTTTGAGTAGAGTTGTCTTTAAAAGTCTTAGGCATTAGAAAGGTTTACTCTCATCAATACACTTGTACAGTCTCGTCATAAACACCAATATGATCTCAGCGTTAGCCTTGTACTTCTCAAAGACGAGAGCTTGGTACCAATTCAAAAGCAAGCTTGTCTTGTTTATATTTCATACTCTTTCAAAACGCACGTCTAACAAAATTGATTTCTTCTCATGGACCCCATCATAGGGACCTTCGAAAGTATCGATAGCGAGAAGAGAATCAATCAAGTAACAAGGGAACAGGGTTGTGAAAAAGCTTTTTATCAAAATGTAAATAACTTCTTAAACATAGAATAGCAATAATATAGTACATTGATCTTCTTTAGCAGTTAAAAAAGTTTATATAAAGAAACCCCTAGAGGACTCTTAACTCTCCTCTTCTCATGCAGTTTAATGGAAACCGCAAGTTAAAATCTCGCTTTCTTGAGACGTTATAACACTAACCCTGAGACTGTATAGAATGTATGTATAAGTCTAAGCATGACTGTTTATTAACTAAATATTTAACCACTTTGTCTTATAAGCTACCAATATTTGAGTGACAATTAACGTCATGTTTGGTATCAGTCTTATTCTACCCTTTTCATTCTTTTTCTTTTCTTCCTTTTTAGACGACTAGGCTTGGCCGTGAAATTAACGATATCCGGCGAAAAACGACAAATCGTGAAATTGCTCAACGTGCAAAAAAGCTCTTGCGCACATGGCAAGATTTATTGCAAAATTCGACGGCAACAACAAAATCGACAATTTCAAATGATGAACAACCTCCGGTGAACGGTGATTTAACGCATTATCCTCATTTATCATCAACAGCAAGTACTACAGTAAAAACGTCATCACAGCCACAACATATCGATGGAGGTACGGGTGATTCAGATAATAATACAAGAGATTCTTTAATCGATGCCACTTTTCCCACATCTTCATCTCACGGGGCACTAACGTCTCCAGTTGTTGCGCCAGCCCCTATTTCTCAACCGCCCATTAAACTGAAAATTAAAATTACACCTCCATGTACAACTACCAATGATCTTCAAAATCCACTCGCACAACACTCGACACCAGCTAGCAAAGGACGAAAAAGACGATTGGAACCTTCATCATCAACAGACGTTCAAGTACAAACGAAAAAACCTTATATTAATGGACGATCCTATTCAACGACGACAGAAACGTCTCCTCAGGGTGCTAAACGGCGAAAAAGGGCCAAACAACTGGATACAACAGAAACAGTACATTATAATACCAATAGTAATATAGTAACTCCTTTTTCATCTCTTCCAAAATTGAAAACCACTCAACAGTTAATATTAGAAATGCAAATGAAACAACCGCATGTTTTATCTACTCAATCACCGACAATAAATGCAATATTAAAAAATCAAATTATAGATGAAAGTTTAGGCGATAATAATAAAGTCGATTATTCAGCTTTACATCACGGAAGACATTTGACGACGACAACTGTATCGGCTGCAACGAATCATGTCACAAATTTTATCGACACAACACAACTAAGGTATACCCTGCAAAAGAAATTTTTATCGGCACTGCTTGTACACGAATGTCAGTGATCCATGGCATGCCGTATGTACTTGCAGTGACGCACTGAAATTTTTTTTTTGCAGCGTAGCTCACTTATGCCTAGAACTCTAATAGAAACAAAATTTGGACTATAGTTTCTAACAATACTTTTATAATCAGTACATAGCTCATTGTTTTTTTTATTCCCATGTGTACTTTAGTCAACATTATACAAAACAAACTTCGTGGAGGAAATCAATGGCGACAACTACACCTTCTCATCATCAACATGGAACTCTTTCTACGACCACCGCATGGGAAGGTAGTAGTGGCGGTGGGTCACCTTCTCCAGCATCACCACCCTCTTCCAGTTCTTCCTCTTCATCAATAACCAACACTGCAAATCAATGGATCTCTTCTACACCATCTATTCAATCAAACACTCTTATCCGTTCATCAATCGGTCAATCTGGTCAATCGCTACTATCTTCTCCAAAAAATACTTCCACACCACCATTATGTATATCGTCAAGAAATAGTAACAGCAGTAATACTACTGCCAATAATCGGAAACGAACAGTAAAAGTACCAAAAACAAGACAAAAATCACTTATCCCAGCAATTTCTATCCCTACATCGCCGCCACCATCACACGTGCCGTCGGTAGAAGAGATTATTCAAGATTTATCTTTATTATGTCCATATGATAACGTTAAAGAATTAGTCGATGCTCACCAACGTAAAACGTTAGAAAAACATCAAAATGAAAATAAAACATACGATCAATTATTAGATGAGCAACCACAATTATTTCTTGTACCTATCGAACAATTATACTATGTTTATAATAAACAGCTCGATAACAATAGGACTACACAAAATATAGATGATGATTCGATGACATTATCTTCTACATTATCTACTGTTTTACCGTTAAAAACGTATAATAATGAAACGTTTTTAGCTTTACCCTATATTGATTTGCAATTTGGATATGATTTTCAATTAGATGAATTGATTGTGAACGCTGATACAAATGGATGAATTGTGTTTATTTTTTTTCTCTTTTTTTTGCTGTTTGTGTATGTGTGTACAGACGCTATATTCAATAAGATCAAAAAAAAATGTCGAAAATTTGTCTTGTTGTTATTTTGTTATTGTTTTTCTGTTGATTTTGTTGTGTTTTTTTATTTTTAAAATTAGTAACAGTAGTTGGAAAGAAAGATGGTAAGAATATAACTCAAAATCTTATGATGAGATGAAATGCAACCACGATTCAGTTTAAGAACTGATTACTAGAGAAAAATGATTAGTAGTCATGTTTCAATAATGGTCAGATAAAAATTCACAGAGAGATTGAAGTGAGAAAAGCAACGTTTTATGCGAGCAAGGAATTTCAAAAAAAAAATGTAAAGCTATAGTCTCTCCTAAAGCTGAGCATAATAATTAGGCAATTAATGTTGTAGAATACAATTCTCTACTTTTTGATGAAGTCTACATCGGTTATGTATTTTGTTTTGTGTAAGTAAGTGTGCATTGTTCATATTTAAATTGAAGCCTTTAATGATGTTTTTTTGTCATTTATATGCTCGCTTAGATCGTGGATGAACGATATTTGCATTTATCATCTATGATTTTCTAAAAGTTACTTTTGATTGTTTTGTTTTCACAATATGTGGTAACACCCGATGAGTAAAGTTAAGATGTCGTTTTTGCATTCCGTGCGTGTTTACATTCACGCTTCTTTTTTTTTCATTTTTGTAGGAAAAACATATAGAACGAAATGTTTATTGTTTGTATGTTTATGTTTTGTTATCACAGAAATCTGATGAGAATACAAAAAATTTCTCATTCATTTCATTTATTATTCGCTGTTCATTTTTTTCTTCTTCTATTTCAACATTTTTCCATTCATTTCATGTTTCTCTCCTATGAGTTTGTGTTTACATTTTGTTTATTTATTTTTTAAAACGATAATGTATACTTATATCAAAAACAGAAAAAGAAAATAATATATATTTATATATAAATAAAGAGAAAGAAAAAACGATCATTTTTGGCTGTTGATGAATAGACAATAGATCAGATTCTATGAGAACAGTGTTTTCGATCAAGCGGTCGAAGCGGTTTGGAAATTCACTCCCCCGTTTGGATAGAGTTACTCAAAAAAATTTTGATTTACTCAGAAATTTTTTAGACAAAAATTAAACTTTATCTCGTTTTCTTCATATTGTTGATAAATCTTGTTTTGAAAACAAAATATAATAAGAAAAATATCAGTCTTCAATTAGTTTCAAACATGCAGTTATTTGGAAAAAAATTTTTAATTTTTAGTTAAAAAAAGCGTTAGTCCAAAAAATTTTAGTTACTCAGTAGACTTTCCATCTCCTCCCAAAACGATATATGAGAGAGTTTCAACTTTTGTTTTTTAGATAGAGGATGTGAACGAGTGTACATTTCTTCTAAATTTAGATTTTTTTATGCTCTTTCGATTAACGCTTTCCAAAAAAATTTTTTGACATACATCTGTCAAGAAAATTGTGTATCGACTTTAAAAGACTCACAACGAAGGTCGAGAGGAAGGGAGAACATCCTTACATCGATACTGTAATTAATTCATGTGTCGCTAAATGTTGTGCATGAAGTGGTTTATGATAAAGATTCAATTTCGGTAGAAACAACTTTTACCTACCATTCTCTCAAAAAAAATCTTATATCGATTGTAGGGAATTAAATTGACTATCGAATGATAAAAAAATATTTTGTTTATGTTTTATGTTAGCCGAGATATTTAAATTTTAAAATGAAGAATATTTTCAAAAAAATCTAATTTTTTAGGTATTTTAGGAAAAGCTTTTTATTGAATAACTTTTCAAAAATATGTAGGGAGATGTGCTCTTTCAAATTATGTCAGCTGAAGAAATTATTGTTTAAACTGTTAGGTTGCTGATGGTACAAAACGAAAGGTCATATTTTACTGGGATTTTGGGCTTAGTCATTCTTGATTTTCTTCACCATCTGAGCTCATTTTCTGTCTCAACTTCCTCAAACTTAATGGTCTACACTTAGATATGTTTGGTCTTTGGTTTCTAACGAGAATTTTGGAAAACTAACTTTTTTCAAATTTTGATCTTTAATTTAAATTATAAATATCTAACTTTTTTAAAAATGAAAACTAATTTTTTTCAATCGTGAGAAGATTATATAGAGGTCTCATATGTTCCATTTTCATCTGTGATTGACCCAAAATCAAGCATTAAAGCCTTGGAGATTTAAAGAAGATATATAGAAAATTCAAATTTTTCTTTTTTTGCCAGTTATTAACTCAATAACCCTCATAATTATTTGCTAAAAACACATAATCAACTAGAACAATCAAAAATATTGACCAGTTGTATAAATAAGAACAAAATCTTCGTCTTCTCACATCGTTGATAAATTACTCTCACGTGATGATAATGATAGAACAAACAATGATATTAGACTTGAAGACTAAGATGGGATATTCTTAAAGTTTATACTAGGAAGATGACTTTACTCGTAATGATCATTACAGCTTAAAAACGCTTAACATGCGATCTACATGATATTATTACACATAGCTGAACTGATACAATAGTTAAACAAGAAAACATAATTTTAGTTTGAATGACTATGAACAGGACGATTAGTTTCAATATCAAATATAATTCAAAACTCTGATAAAATCTTTCATAGTATTCAACAACAAAGTTGGTTGATTTATTATCCGATATGAATAAATAAGCATCAACTATCGGATAATGAGGATGATCTTGAATAATGAATCGATTGATCAAACTGTCAACAATAGAATGCAACTGTAATTACATTCAATTGATCTTGACTTGTTAACGACTAATCAAGTTAACCTTTAATATTGATGACACTAATAACAATAGTCAGCCAAGTGAGGTAAAAACACAGCATAGCGTCGATTTGATGCTAATTTGCAGCTCTTTAAAACTTTCCTCTCTAAGAGTTTTTGCTGTCATTAAATAACACCAAACTGACAGCAATTGATATTTTTTTTCTATCATTTTCAATATCGTTTACTCAACAATATACTGATGATATTAATCTGATTAGTTTTCAAGAGCATGAAGATATTCTCTGTAATAACAATAATAATAACGACATAATTTTATAAGAATTTTATTTTATCAAAAATACAACATTTGACGATGATTATATATATTAGCGAATAAAATAATAATAGTTTTATAGAAACATTTATTAACACAAGATGAATCAAACGTAATAATCTAATGTGAAATCTTTTTATTCGAGTTTAAAGATTCCACATTAGATCAGGCGAATTGATTATGTATTTGTTTTTTGCTTATGTACTATAAAATTGCAACTTCAAACTATAATACTCTTAACTTTAACCGCTATAATAAAATGAACTGCATGAAAGAATGGAAATTTAATTTTGAAAATTCATGAGAACTAAATTTTACGAACCGTATAAATCAGTATATGAGCGGCACTGAGTCAACTTCTTAATCGGCATACTTTCATTTGATATACGACAAGTCTACATCAAGTTAACTAAAAAAGTGAACTGCATTTTTCGGGCATTAGTATTATTAGAACTATAGATCACAAATAGCATAGCAATCTAGGATACTCGATTCTGAATGATTTATTATTTGTTTAATACTCATGGAAATTAGCCTAAACCAGCTTCACCAATACAATCCATGGGTTCTTGCCAATAATTCAGTACATTGAACTTTCATCAATACACCCGTGGTCACTCGTCAATCGGCGAAAGTCACACCGGTGTGCCTTCATGATTCCGTTACCATCACATATGAGCGACAGACAAGAATTTTTACATGAATAAAATATCGGGATCAAGCGTAATTCTTTTCGAACCATCCATGGATTGTAGAGATTTTTGAGCTTTCAGTTGTTCCGACGCTTCGCCGAGCGAGTCTGAAAAAATTTTAAAACGACGACATTTTGCTGTTTATTTAGTTTAGAGAGGTGTCAACTATGCTCGTCTAAAAAACCAGAGAATAAATCATTATATGTTTTTGTTTTGTTGACTGTCAAAAGTTTTCGATTTTGTGGAAATTTCAAAAATTTCCCAAAATCTCAGCAATTTCTTCCCTGACCACCGCTCACACTAAAGACCTCATTTTGTACTCCGGCTTGTGGTGAAGATTAACGATGGTTCAAAATTAGAAAATTTGTTATCTTTTGTTTTGTATATAAGATACTGTTCATCCTTCATAGTTGAATAAGTAACGCCACTCTCATGTTATATGATAAAAGTATTGAAACGACTCAATAACTCAATACATATCTGAAAATTTGCACATTTATTTTTATTTATATGAAGAACGAAGAGGAACAGATAAAAAAAGATAAAAAGGCATAAAAATCAAAAAGAATAGATCAAGACTGCAAAATTATTGTAACAAGATCTTTAAAATAACGTGGACGGATTTATCTTTTATCATCGTCGAATGAACAAGAGTATAACGACATCGGTAAATTATTATTGATTATTTGCTTTTTGACCCGATATCATTGCTTCATATCGTATTTTAGTTGGATCTCCAATGAGTCGAACTTGTGCATTATTATCAATACCCGCTTCTTTCAATGAACGATCGGGATAGAGTTGAAGTTCTTGTCCACGATAATATAATTTTTGATCTTTAATAGGTACACTAGTAATTCGTTGTAATTCTTCCATTAAATCATAAATACGTAAATTGTTTGTACTGCGTAATATTAGTACATGACGATCAGATCCTTAAAAAAAAGAGAAGATCTTAAAAATTAAAGACAGACAAAGAAATAAATATACTTACCATGAAATACTTCTACTTTCAATACTTCTTGATTACTATTTGTTCCATTGGATATATTATTATCTCCCCTAAAATATTTTATAACTATACAAGAAAAGATTAAATAATAAAATAATTTCTAGAATAACAACGCTTCATTTGGTTCTGATTCTGTGAGCAATTAGTTAAAATACAAAAAAGTAACATTTTTCATGGTTGTTATAAGTATCCTACGTTTGCATCTTTTACTATGTGATTTGCAGAGTAACATAAAAAAGTAGCTAAGCATTCTTTGAAAATTGCAGCTAACTAATTGAATATGTTTTACATATATGTAGAAGAAATTTAAATTTTTACCTTGGAGATGTTTGTCCTTGTCGTGGAGATTGCGAACCATCTCCTCCATATTGTTGTCGAGCTGTATAATCAGTTTGCTGTTGTTGTTGTTGTTGTTGTTGTTGTGGCTGTTGTCCACTATTCTGATTGGAATTTTTATACCATAGAGAGATAAATGAATTATTAACAATACCAATGGATTCTACTGGAGCATCAGGAGGAAATTGTGTTAGTGACATTCCATTATAACCAACGTTTTGATCAAGTATGGGTATGTTAAATCGTTGTTGTAATTCCATTTGTAAGTCATAGAGTGTAATTGGATGCGGACGACCAATTACTAAACCTTCTACACGATCTCCTAAACCAATTTGTAGATTAAGAACAAAAGTTGATACTCGTGGACCGGTATAATTTTGATTTGGTGGCTGAGATTGTTGATAATAATTGCCACTAGAAACAGAAAAAATTAGTGTTAGTTATCAAGCAGGAATGAGATGGGAAAATGACACCGTTAAATACGCGTAAGCATCAACACGACAAAATCTTAGAGGTAAAAGTTTTTCTTTATTGAAAGAAAATTTGAAAAAAATAAATTGATTAATTAAAACTGAAGAGTAATTCAAAGTATTTTGAAATAGAAACATATTTGTCATATGTCTATGTCTGATAATAATAACGCCTAGAAATATAAAGGCAAACATAATATTTGTCTTTAGAAAATGGAAAATCTCTTTTCTAAAACTCACGGACTATGATAATGACAATAACAGTTACAACTGTTACAACTATTACAACTGTTGTTGCTAATACGATAATTATGATGAGAACATGTACATGTGCAATAACAACTGAAAAATTGTGTCAAAAATCTTTTGTTTTTTTTTGTTATAAATATTGTTGAATCTTACCGTGGACTTGTACTATATTGATCATTATAAGATTGATAAGTTGGATATTGAGTTGGATAATAATTTGTTTGTTGTTGCACCGTTTGTCCACCACTGTATGGCTCTTGTTGATTTGTATAATCTACATAGGAACGTAATTCTCGTCTTCTATTTCGTTGTACCGGATCATCTTCACGGCAAACACGCATTGGATGATTATTTTCTATACCCAATGTTTCTAATAATTCATTTGGTGTATCACAGATATTTCGACCCTTGAGAAAAAAAGAAACACAAAACAAAAGATTATTTACAACTTTTAATTATCATATTGATCATCTAGACTTACTTTCCAATATAAAATAATTTGATCTATTGGCATTTTAAATATTTTTGATGCATCTTCTTGTACATCTCGAACACGTAAATCATAATTTCGTTTAACAATTAATGTTTGACGATCAGAACCATAGGCTGCCTCAATTTTAATTACTTTTCGATCTTGACGACGTGCCATTTTCTATTAAAAAAAGAAAAATATGAACAAAAATATTACAGTTCATATTTTGAATGAGAGTTTAGAAATTATTAGTATGTTTGTTTTTTCCATCTATTTCACATGATTTCGCACATTCAATTGTTACTATTTTTAAGCAATAAAATAAAAATCTAGGAAAAAAGTTCTATTCACCTACGTACATCAAAACGAGAAATATCTCGAACATCTTCACTAAAATACATAATTTATCTTGACTAGTGGTCACCAATTAATAATCACTTATTTTTTTAAAATTTGTTCTTTTTATATACTTAGAAAATAGTTTTTTCTTTGTCTTTTTCGATTGATATCACATATGATTGATATACAGAAGAGAAGAAAAAAAGAATTAGTTCTTTATATTACCGTGTAGTCAATTGCGTTTGAGAGCTATGTAATCTAAGTTAGATATCAAATTTCTTGTATTTCAATATTTCAGAATAGATATATTTTTTTTCTGTTAAAAAAATCGAATAATCGAAGGAAGAACAGGAATTAAAGGAAAAAAAATCACCTGGAATCAGTCCTATTAAACAATTAAGAAAACGAACAAGTTGACAATTGTTTTTTTTTTATTCTTGTCATCACAATGGTTTCTAGTGAATATAAAAAAAGCAAGAGAGGGGAGAAACGTATTTCTATTAGTATTAGACACGTGACAATTTAACTTGTCAACAGAGTATCAACAGTGTATTGTATCAACAGAGTTCCTTTCTTTTTTCCTCATTATCGTGGTTTAAAAACAACTATTCGATCATTATTTTTTAAAATAAAAATCAAAAAAATCTGAGATCCTCTTTCGCTTGGTGACATGCTAAAATTTTCACATTTTTCTCTTTCTTTTATTGCATCCATTTCTTTTCTGTTGTCAAGCATGAGGTATTCTGCTTTGCATAATAATAGAGTGTTAATTGTCAAAAAATAAGTAAATTATATTGAACAAGTTGTTTCTATGTAAATGTATTAAGTATCTGCCAAAAAAAGGAGGTCATCATTTTTTTCTTCTGTTCAGTATTAAAAAAAAAAAAAAGCGCTGTTTGTGTTGTTTTTGAGATGATACAAATCCGTTCAATCATCAAAAATAAATCTGAAATGTTATGTGTTATTTTAAACGCATAGCACGCAATTTGTTTATAGTATACATTCTCTTAGTTATAATAACACCTAGTTACTGACAAACAATAAAAAACATAAAGCAGTCTATAGAATCACTTATTTCTAAAAACTACTACTTTGAAAATTAATGGGAACGATAGTACTGGTGCTCTTAAAATATTGTGAATTGAATCTGTACAGTAAGATGATTTAGCGATCAGTATGAATGTTTTTGAGATAATTTTCAGTCTTTCGACCTTACATAGCTACTGATTTCCTTCGCAACATTTCTATTTTTGTCAATTGAACAGAATCAAGCGTCATTATATTTACAAATCTATTAGTATTCAAGTTTTTTTGAAATATTTTCTCGAGTTCAATCTTCTAATTCGGTCTTTTATAGAAAAAACTATTTTATTCTATTCTATATTCATTTAGTTTCTGAAAAGTATTTTATTGTTGAAGACGAAAAAAAGATGCCACTGCCTTCTATTTGTCACAAGATAACGTACTCTTCTGTAGTTCAATACTTTTTTTAGTTTGATGCACTCTAAAAATAAAAGTGTACCTAAAACTACTCTTTTAAGAAACCGATTTTCCGCTGAGCACTTTTCAGAAAGATCACTTCTAAAACGGCCACCAGAAGAACGCTTTTGAAAAGTGATCTTCAGTAGAATACTTTTGAAAAAAGGTCACTTCCAGAAGAAGGGAGCTGAAGCACTAAAAGGATTCCAGAAAAGAACACTATTTGAAAGTATTTCTCAGTGTAGCATTTTGAAACCGCTCCAGAAAGAACGCGTGGGTGGGAACCGTTCTTTCCAGCTATACATTTTTTTTACAGGGTGGTGATTTGTGTTAATTTCGAGTCTGTTGGCGCCACCCGCTACGATAGAATGTCAAGTCAACGATGAAATTTGCAAAACGACCATAATGCCTATCATTAAGAGAAGCCGTGTACTTTACACGAATGTCACATAACTATTGTTGAATCATTCAGTAAAGTTTTGTGAATTACTACTCAAGATCTAATATTAATTCCGTTCGATCTTTTTGGTGCATTAAGCTATTCAAAGCACGAGCTACTTCAGATCATGATCTGAGACGAGATTCCACTTACTTCTTCATCATTTCCACTATTACTTTGTTACAAAATGTGTTGGTGGAAAGTAACACAAAAAATACTGAGAACGCAAAATGGCTAACGTTCTAACAATAAAATTAAAAAGTCTATTAAGCCCACAAAAAGCATTATCTCAAATCCCTTAATAAAAGATTTTTCACATCCAGATTAAGTACCTTTCCTACTTTTACCGTTTTTTCATGTTTTTGATGAAACAATATACCACTAAATGTGATCCTTCCTGGCAGTGATGTATCCAAATCATCAGTCTTTCTCTCACCGGAAATTCAATTAAATGCATTAAAAATGCACAGAGTGGACCTTCAGAAACGAAAACATGCTTTCCACTTATTCAGAGTTTCTCTCTGCTCTTCTCACATACTGCAAGATGGTAACCCTATTCACACCACAACCGGTTGAATGAGAAGGCATCTCAACCTAATCAAGAAATTTTAAAAACTTGTTCGATTGTAATCAACTACAGATTCGAAGTTTTCATAACCGATTCCTGTGTATGAAACAAACTTTGGATCATGATATTTCTGAAAAATGTCATGATCCCGTTTAGCTTCTGATGCTCTTCATGAAATTCTTAAAAAATTATTGAGCAAAACAATTGGGAAAAAATTTCCAGAAAAACCTCGACCGAATTTGTTGCGTACAAGGGAGTCGGTTATGGAAAGTTTGAATCTGTAATCGGTTTTGTCGAACAAGTTTGTACAATTCTAGATTAGATTGATGTATTTTTAGTTAAATATTATCATTTTCGAGCAGTAGTTTTGTACCATTCTATAAAATATTCATCCCTTCCTAGTGAGTAACAAACTCGCATCTGAGTAACATTTCGTTAACATTTGTCCAAGATCTTAGACAATCGTTACTAAGATCATGAGACATGAAAATTCTAAGATTTGGTAAGATTTTTCTAAGGTCTTACTAAAGGTTATTGTGTTTCTTATAAAATTGATTCGTGATTACTAAGAATTTCTGAAAGTGTTGTTCAAATCCTGATAAATTTCTTTTACAGAACTTACTTCTGGTTTGAGTTTGTTGATCCGCATTGTTAAAAATTGCAGTCGAACAGCACAAAAGAATGAAAAGAAACTTCATCCTTTTAGATGAACGTTGACTTGCATCGCACACTTTCTTAAAAGTTGTCGAACACTTTCAAGTGAGCAGAGACAAGCAAAGTCAGAATAAAAATAACTTAGCCAAATTTTGTTATATTTTCGATATTACTTATAGAGATGCACAAGAACAAAATAAAAGTCAAAGCTATAATTTTCTATAAGATTTTAGATTATCTTATTAGCATTTTACATGATTTTAGTAAGATAATTTTAAGAAATGGCTAATATTTTTACTAAGGCTCAAACCATTTGAGTTTGCGTTTTTCTAGAAAGTGAATGTTTTAAGACGGCTAGCAGTGAGGCATCATTTTGATAGACAAACATGTGAAAAGAAAATGTATACCTCGACTGAGAAACGAACCCAGGATTATGTTACATTTTCTTTTCACATTTTTGTCTATCAAAATTGTACCTCACTTCCAGCCGTGTTAAAATTCATTTTCTAATTTCATCAAATCTTGTTTCACCATTCATATGTCCTTTTGTTTTGAGGAGAAACAATCAATATGTCTATAATATTCAAATGCGAAAATAGCCAGAACTTTCTTTGCTCAATATGATGAATAAAAAAGATTAAAATTAGAACTTTTTTACAGAAAATTTCGGTAATGTTTTGTTGTAACAAATTAAGTAAAAATTTTCGTTACTCTATGTCAAATATTCGCATATTTATTTATACAAAGAATGAAAGAGTATACTCGACCGTATTAGAAAATTTGCTGTGATGTACGATGTATCTAATGCCTGGTAGCACTTTTATTATAAACGTTTTAACTTTGCTGAAAGGACACTTTAAAAAGTTGACTATTTTGAGTTTCTTAGTATATTTCGTGTAATCTTCCACTTTTACATTTTGTAATAAAACATTTAATATGTATTTGGTAAAGAATTTGAAGGGACATCAAAAATGAATTTAGATCGATTATAAATATTAGCAAAATACTCACAGCGGATCATATTTTCTGAGGAAATTGTCAGATAATAGTTTAACTTTTGTTTTTCATCATTGTCTCTCTATTTACTGCTATTATCAATGACTATGATTATCTAATTAAACACAATCTTTTATGAGTTATCATATTTAACAACCGTAATGCACGGTACCATAGATCATCATACGACTTTTCTTGCTTATTTCATATAGATCTATCGGTGGAATGCTACTACTGACTTATGAAATTTAACTTCGTCGAATACTGACTGGTTAGCATATATAACATGAAACGTTTAAATTTGAAGAATGATGCAATTGTTACGACTTACTTGAAGTTCTGCTTCATGATTTGCTTTATCTAAATCTAATGGATCGTACAATTTATGCCATATTTTATCGTGTTGTAAATTTGCTAATGGATCCATTGCTGCTGAACGATTTGTTGGTGCAGCTGTATAATTTGTTGTGCCTGCTTTACTACGTTTTCCTTGATCAGTTACTTCGTATTCATACGTATATTCATAAGTTGTTGTCATATTTGCTGTTTAACTAGAAGAAAAAAAAATGATGATAATAATAATAATAATAACAACAACAAAGAGATATTCAACACAACATTTTGACGATTAATGTTAAAATTCTAACACTTATAAAAAAGGTATTTTTATGAAAATAAACTATTCCGGTGTGTCTGACGAATAATAGACCTACTGCTGTGTTGTAAAGCATGGCAACCAATATGAAATCATTACAATTATTTTTATTGTTATTATAGAAACTGAAATTCGAATGAAGGTTTTTCATTATGTATATATACCAATTCTATATTTACGTCTTCTTTTCTACTACTAATATTTTCTTTTTTTTTGTGACGTTTGTTTTATGCAAAAGGAAGACTATCAACTGTCGTTATTTAAATCTCGTAGTAAACGTTGTCAATTTTTTAGTTGGTAATTTTATTAGAATAATACAGACACACATAAATATACACACACACACACCAGAACTCTTTATAACGACTCTGAAGAGAAAAAAAAAACAATTCACTTGGGGCTACCTATTTTTCGAGCTCTGTTCGACGTAAATATCTTTAACAAAAAAAAAAAAAAAAACGAGAAAAAGTTTACTAATTTTTACAAAAGAATCTCTTTATAGAATACTTTCTTGGTTTCTTTCTGTTTTTCCATCCAAAAACAATAGAGTTCTTCATGTGAAATAAATTTTTTATTTTATTTTATATTTCCTTTAAATTATATTAACACTATGTTTTCTCTTTATGTTAATTTATTCTTTTGTAAAATTTAATTGTTATGGTCCTTTGGTATAAAGTGTCCAAATTATCACCACAACGACACTTTATATTTCTTCAAATAGAAAAGGAAAATGAAAGAAGGATTAGAACATTTTGTTCAAAATAAACTGCTTAAAGAAAAAAAATTTAAATTTTTAATTATTAAAAATAAAGATTAGTCTGATAAATTGTACAGATAGAAAAATTATTTTAAATAAGAACATGGTATTTAAACATTAAGTCGAATACGATCTCTCATCTTTACACTAGAATAAAAATATTGAAAAAATTTATTAATCCAAAGTTAAAAAGAAAATATTATGTTGTTCTACATAGTAAAAAGAAATAATTGAATTGAATTAAATATTTAACAAAGAATAAAGAACATCAAAATATCTTCTTTGAATTTAAAAGTTTCTAATTCTTATTACCTGTATACTATTTTCTCTCAGTTATTCTATTTGTTTTAAAATGCCCACTGATCTTATAAAGTGCAATGAAGTAGTGATATATATAATTTATCAAAGAAGAAAATATGTTTTTGTGAAACTAAACAACAAAAAACATTAAAACATTTAATTCGACATTTTTCTCTTTTTTTTTTTGAAGAAAATTTATTAAAACTTTACTCACAAAATATAGCCTGACATATGTTAATAAATAGCGAAAATACTTGATATTAATTGTTTTTAATATAATCCTCTCTGTCCGTTTTATAGAAAACTAATTGCAATGGCTTAAAAAAAAATATATACAACATTTGACGATGGTATAAAATTGAGATCGGGATCGGGTAATAGAGATGCTACGTCTGAAATATCATTATTAGTTAATGTGAATGTATAATCAAAACACAATTATTTATGAAAAGAAAAAAATAATTCTTACCCTCGCAGACATTATTACGATTAAATAGTTTATAAGGAGTTTGTTAAAAAGTGGCATATATATTCTTTTATTTTCCAGTTTACTTCTAAACACAAATGCGATTTTTAAAGAAAAGGCTCATATACATTGCATTCAAAAATTTCACCATAGAACATTATTAAATTTTTTTTTTTTTTCATATAGATGATAGTCGAAGCTCTACTTTTTTATTAATAAAATAAGAATAAGTGCAAATAGTCGTATTCCTGTTGAATCATCACGTATTCTTAATTCAGTTTTATGTGCTTATTCCGATCAATCGTTGGATGTGATTAAAGAACGTTTATAAAAAACTTCAAGGTAAAATATTTGATTTTTTCTATTATTTCTACATCCAATATCTAAGTTATATTTGCTTTTTATTTTGATCAGAATGAATTACTACTTACAACTCAAATTAATTCTAATCTATATATTGTAATTAAAATCTATTAATTGTAAGTTTGTAGCGAATATACATGCATTAAGTATCGATACGACTATGATATGTTAGCCATTCCGAAATTTTTGAGTTGAATTATGGACAACTGCCTGAATCAGTTGGACAATTAGTTAAATTTCATATGGACAGATAATAATCGAGATATTAACAGAGGGTATGATAGCGCATAAGCACACACAGCTATACACTGCATAATCTTCTCCTTTCCATTTAGTGTTTGTTTTCCAATAGATTATTTCCCAATGGATGATTTTACAGTTCACGCATTCATTATTCTCTAACAGATCAGAATGTACATTGAGTATACCGCTAAACACATATTTATTTTATTGATTGTGATAATTTTCTGAAACGTTTACAAACTCCAAGGAAACATTCTCTCGATCCACAAAATTATCTGGTACATTTGCAAATGATTTTATTCAAGTCATGACACCTATTCTAGATCAATTGAAAGAAGTAAACTATTATAAAATTGGTCTAAGAACAACAATTATTAGAGAAAACGTATACGTACAATGGCATAGAGCACAATATGCAGATTTTATACACCTGTTGCCGTTCATAATACTTAAGGAATCGTAGATTTGTTTGCGCTCAAAGTATGTTTTCTATTAGTGATGAATAGTATGCAAATAGTCAGATATATGTTTTAGTAGAAATTAAAATTTCAATTTTGACTGAAGATCGCTGAGTCAAATTTAGAATTTGACTAGCATTCCCAAGACAAAATTAAAATTTGAGGTTTCACTAGGCAAAAACTTTAACTTTTAGCTAAGAAATGTTCGCCAAGAAATTAAGCCAACAGAACTCAGTATTCATTATGAGATATGGAACTATAATTTAATTATGTTGATTTAGGATTGGGATAGTCGAAATTAGAAATATCGTTAGAAAAAATATATTATTAAAGTCGTATGCACAATAACGACAGAACAATGAGATAGAGAGAATGCATAATGGATGGAATGGAGGAAAGAAACAAAGAAGATGTCAGATATGAAGAGACATTCAGTTCTATATATAAACAGCTTTTTTTATGTTATATTTAAATTTTTTCTCACTTCTCTATTATAATACTGTTATTTCAAGTTGTTAAAACGTGGTCTATTCAATCATTATATCAGATTCAGATCTATTAGATGTTTCAACAGAACACAATGAAATACAATTGGATTCTATTTCACCAGGAAATAAATATTCGATCGTAGCTTCTATTGCGTCAGTAGACCGTTGTATAACTGCTTCAGCTAATGCTGCTAAAGTCAATGATTTGACTGTTGGTTGGGATGCAGGAGTATTTGGAAGTGTGCTTACTGCTTCTGTTAGTGTGCCCACTATTTCTACATTTGATAATCAAGAAAAACTATTTTAGGATGAAATTAATAAACATTTTAATAATTTAAATAAAGAATTTCGACAAAAAGTTATTATTAAAAAAGACACATTTGATAGTATTCTTTAAAGTACTGAGTACAAATATTGATGTTAAACTTCTACCATGTTTAATTCTTTCAAAAGATAAAAAAAGATGATAATTTCATTTTTAGAATAGTATGTAAATTTGGTAAACTTGAGAACCCGTATACGATTGAAAGCTTAATCGATCTGCGATCAGCATGTCCATCAGATTTAAAACTAAATGAAGTAAGTTCCCTTGCTGACCTAACGTCAAAAAAATGTCATGTTAAACAGCGTGAATGTCTGAATTTCAACTTAATTAAAATTTCACTTGTTTGCTTTCTTACTTTTAGTAAATGTCCAAAAAATCAGTAGAATTATACCAAAAAAAGTATAAAAGTTACAATTTACAAAAATATACATGTCTTCTTTTTCACTACACAAAATATTTTTTAAGATTCATATTTCTGTGGGTTATCGGAATTTTATTAAAAAAATTTTCATTAAAAGGAAGTTCATTAAAATTTTTAATGAAATTCTTGTACTATTAAAATATTTTTAATGAAACTCCATGTCACAGTCACTTTGCAGGAGACGTTTTAATGAAAGTTTGGTTAACAGGATATAAGTTAAAGACTCGAAAATATTTAAGCGGAAAAAAATACGTATGAATCGCTTAGCGATACATATACGAAGTGAATCAGGTATCTTTTGCTAAACGATATATATATATATATTAGATAAAATTATTGTGCTATTAAAAAATTTTAATGAAACTCTTGCTGAAATGAAAGTTCTGGTACTCTCATTAAAAAAATGCTTTAATGGAAGCTTTTTTAATGAAAGTCACCCAATCCATGTTTGCAGCAAATTATAAATCTGGAAAAATTCAAAAAAGTTTCATGGATCAATTCGAATACAGCCACCGTTTCGTGATAAAGTGGATAAGTACCGATAAACGATCACGGGAAACTAAACGCTGGAAAACAGGTCGCTTGGACCTTGTAACTCCTATAATCACTATTGTTGATACCTCTACTTCGTAGCAGTATTTATTAATTATTAAGTGTAATTATTGGCTGTTTATAGTTAAGGTTCTGACTGTTGATCATGCTGTTCTGACCACTACCTTGAAATAAATCACTTTTCAAATTTTTGAATATTTTCGGTTCCCTGGGTATGATCGGTGTTATCACTAGCACCACACATAGAACTAGTAGTTACGTCCTTGGCAAAAGTTTCGATGACTTATGTGGTCGAGAAAAAACAAAACTCTGCGTTTTCTGTGAAAAACCAAAGTAGTGAGGTCAGCAAAACAAAAGGGTAAATTAAATGGTAAATGTTAAATGTCCGATTTTTGTCTATTAAGAAGTAGCTTAAAATCCTTTCGAGTGCTGCCATCTTGAGAGTGTGTGAGTTAGCATCTTGCTTCAAGCAATCTGAAGGAGATACGCACTTTATCTCACTTGTCTGAATACACGTACATAACCATCCGCATGGCATGCCTCGACTAGCACGAAAGACCAGTCGAAAAGATATGATTGGGACGGGATCCGG